TAGTTAATGGCAAGATCCACTCAGAACTACTCACATTTGCCAGAGCCACTTACAGGGCTGTGAAGATGTATAGATAGAGTGTGTCCACCACGAACAGTTACCAAGCAGACCCAGGTAAAGAATCTCCAGGATGCAGCAGATGGATGAAAGGATACTTTATTTAACAATATCCAAATCTCGCTTTGGTTCAGACTTGCTTCCGATATTATGCGCATGCGTATTAGTTGCCATGATGGTATTCACTTGTCAGTCCATTTATATACAAAGTCTCTTGCATATGATATGAGTTCCATTGAACGCGGAAGGAACATATAGATGGTATAAAAGACACAATAATTATTCACAAAAAAAAATATTATACACGTACAATTCTGTTTTAAAACCCAATTCTGAACAAAGGAGAGGAGATGAATAAGGAAAAAGATAATAAAATAATTAATATTTAATATTTGATATATTTAATAATAGAAAATGTAATATACATAAAAAAAAAAATATGTAACATTAAAATACAAAAGATCATAAAAAGAAGTATAAAAGGATTAAGAATATATTATATTAATGTGATGGATTCCCAATCTATATTAAGACCATTTGGGGCCATAGTATCCAAATTAAAAATCCATTTCATTTATTTTTTGTTAAGACTGGGTGGGATACTATTGCCTCTCCAATGGCCCTAAATATATTGGACCCCAAAAAATAAAAGTTGGTCAGGAATTTTGTTGTGATACGCTATGGTTAGCGTACCCTCTTTTGATGTTATTTATATGTTCTCGTATCATAATCTTGAGGGGTCTTGATGTCTTTCCCACATATTGGAAACCACATGGGCATACGAGAACATATATTACATTTTTGGTATTACATGTTATAAAAGAATTGATTTAAAAAAAATGTTTTTATTGCTTTTTTATTTTGCACCCTATACAATCACCACAGTAAAATAAACATTTTTGTGTACTATTGGTTTTTAGATAGAAAATAATTTTTGTCTCTTTCTATAAAGCTCATAGTAAGGATCTGTTTTCAATTTTGGGCACCCCTAAATATAACTTTTGGTGTTGTGCCTACATAATTTCTTAAATCATTATCCTGTTGTAAAATATGCCAATGCCTATCAAAAACTTTTCTTAAATCTCCTGCATTAGTATTAAAATCTAAAATCATAGGGACTTGTTCATTCTGTATTAATTCTGGTTTGGTCTTATAGTTGAGAAGTGTTGACCTATCACAATTTCTAATTTTGGCCGTATCGTATTTTAAGGCTTTTCTTGTATTTCCCTTCTTAAAAAATTGATTACTGCAAACTTCAGCTTGTTTATTAAAATCTTTTATATCTGTACAATTTCTCCGGATTCTTAAAAATTGGCCCTTAGGGATGTTGGCCAACCATGGTTTAAAGTGGCAACGTTTTGGTTTTAATCTGCCCCTCTGATATAAAAATATTAAAATCTAAAAAATTAATGTTAGTGTTATTAAACACATATGTAAGTTTAATATTCCAGTCGTTAAAATTCAGAAAATCAATAAAATTACTTGCAGAGGCACAGTCACCCTTCAAAATAATAAAAACATCATCTATATATCTTTTTTATAGGACCAGGTTCTCCTTCCAGCTATCCTCCGAGTAAATGAAGGGTTCTTTCCAATTTGCCAAAAAAAGGTTGGCATAGCTGGGGGCGAACTTGGTCCCCATTGCTTTGCCTCTACATTGGAGATAATAGTCACCCTCAAACTAAAAGAAGTTGTTAAAAAGTATCATTTTGATGCCTTCTAAGATAAAGAAATTTGATCATCTGGGAAAAACTTAGATTCGGTCAGAAAAAAACGGACTGCTTCTATCCCTTTCTCATGTTTAATACTGGTGTACAGGCTATTGACGTCACAAGTAATGAGTAATAAGCCTTCCTCCCAGCAAAAAGATTCTAAGATTTTCAACAAACTCATGGTGTCCTTCAGATATGAAGGGCATTTCTTAACTAAATGCTGTAGCTGGATATTGATATATATATATATATATATTTTTTTTTTTTAAGATCCTAGTAGATATCAGGAACTGTAGACATTGAAAGGGCAAGCCTTCAGAACAATTAAGGTGCGTGGACTATATAAAGAGAAACTGGGACACGTTCCAAAAGGAAGTAATTGCTATGATGACTGATGGAATGTTCCTGCTGTCTTCTCCACTTTCAGAACATTCCACCGAAAATTGATCTTCAAAATCCTTCTTGTATATAATTTAGCTTTAATCTGGTAACACCAAACAGTGGAACTATAATTTGAATTGAATTAAAAACTAAATTGCAAAATCCAGATTAAAATAACCCAAAAATTAAAAATGTAACCGCTAAAATTAAAAACTTTCATTAAATTAACACAGGCACAAAAACATATCAACACAGCAATTGGGAGTATTTGCCAAGCAATGCTCTCAGCCAGAGGGCATATTGTAGAGCGAGCAGTGCAGTACTGTGCAAAGAGAGCTCTAAATCTCCCTATCACCCTGTGCTGCATGGGGGCCATGGGAAAGCTCAGCAGGGCTGGCTCTAGAAATGTAGCGTGACTTTGCTATCAGCACAATGATTTGAAATTTAATTCATGTATACCAAGTGCCGATGTGAAGGCATTTAAGTCAAGCTAAGTCAAAGTGTTCTTTCCTTAACATGGTATGTCTAATTTATAATGTTATAATCTTCAATTAGTAACTAATTGTAAAATGTATCAATAACCCTTTGAATTGGGGTTATATTGACGGTAATGGTGATGATGAAGCAAATAACTATATTTATAGAGACTGTTTCTGAAACAAATTCATAAAATTGATGCTTGTAAAACAGTGTAATGTGCCTACTGATTTAGAATGTTTAGTCTGTTTAGAATGTTACCCTAGAATTGCTCTTTATACAGAAATTCCAATGGCCTCTTCTATTGCTGGCTAAACTGTTAAAGCCTGATGCCGATCCTGCCCTTTGCTCATTGGCTGAGAGCATGAACTAAGCACTCCCAGTCACTAAAAGAACCTCTTAGCATATAAATAAAATTAGCCATCCTGGCTCTCTCTTTCCAGGCTAGCTTCTAAAGGCAGACAGAAGTGGAGTTACACCTCCAGCATCAACATAAAAAATAAGTATGAAATGCTGCACATACAAATTCTTTGCACCACCACCACCACTTTCAAACACAGAAGTAGTCAAGATACTTGGGGTAACGATGGTGAGTATGTGTGTTATTGTGGAACAGTGACACCTGCTGGTAACTGTTGTATCACCAGGTAAACAGACAGATTGACTACAAACTATTAGAAAATTTGCTAAACTGGAAACAGACTAAGTAATAACACATTTGATGGTAAAATATCTAATGGGAAATGAAATGTTTTACCTATGCAATGCTTAGTGAATATTCCTCTACACATACAGAGCTATAAATATATGCATTAACCTATAGATGTATTGCATACTGAGATGTGGATTTAACAACATATATTATTCTGTATCTACAAATACCTGGACAGGTCTTCATCAATGATTTGTTGGTGGGAGGGGGGCAAGGGAATAGAGGTGAAGCGCTAATTAAAGGCCCTCAGGTGTAATTAGTACATTATTATTTTTATTATATTATTATTTATAGCGCCAACAAATTCCGCAGCGCTTTACAGTGCGTGGACGAACAGACATGTAGTTGTAACCAGACAAGTTGGACACACAGGAACAGAGGGGATGAGGGCCCTGCTCAATGAGCTTACATGCTAGAGGGAGTGGGGTAAAGTGACACAAAAGTTAAGGATAGTATTAGACTAATGACAGTTGCAAGAGAGGAATCAGTCAGGAGTTATTAATAGTTTAATTGATACGCTTTTATGAAGAAGTGGGTTTTTAATGATTTTTTGAAGGAGTGGAGACTGGGTGAGCATCTAACGGAGGAGGGAAGCGAGCTCCACAGGAATGGTGCAGCCCTCGAGAAATCTTGAAGGCGAGCATCAGAGGTGGGAGTACGGACAGTAGATAGACGTAGGTCTTCAGCAGAACGTAAGGGCCTAGACGGGACGTAATTGTGTGTAAGGGAGGATAGATAGGTGGGAGTAGCATTATGTAGAGATTTGAAAGCAAGAACCAGAACATACAAAAAGATTAAGGAAAGCAGGATGTGTTAATTGCATAAGTCCATGGCAGCATAAGGGTTACAGACCCTGTGCATTTTGCAGCCTAACAATATCCAAGCTGGAAAAATAGCTGAGTTGGAAAATTTAGTTGACATTCAACTACTTTTCCCCTTTGGTAAATAACTTTGTAAGTTTTAAAGAGATCATTCAGAAGGAATAACGATTGTAATTTTAATATTATGTTGTACCCTCTTGTAGCAATGCACAATGTTTGTGGGCCCAGGACATGCCTAAAAACGAGAAAACTCTCAATGTATCATTCCTGATAAAATATATTAGAAATAAATATATTGTCGATTGGGCCCTGCCTGCACCTGAGCAGACACACTACACAGGGCACCAAGGAACACATTCAATGATTTTTAATTTTGCTTAGTTCATTTTTATATGTAATATGATTGAGTAGTACAAATGGAACTCTAAATTCTCATCCTGCAATCACACATCTGCAGGGCCTTTGCAGACCACACTGCACTGTGTACACAAATATAGAGTGATTTCTCCTTAGAAAAAAAACCTCTTCTGAGTTAGGGTAAAGTTACAGTTATTATTGGGTTAGATGTCATGCGAAGGTTAAATTAGGGTTAGGAGATATAGCATTTGGGGTAGAGGTAATTAAGGGACAGGGGACAAAATTTTGCTTTGTGTTGTGACTTTGAGGATGTTTAGATTTGGGGAGAGGAGGGGGTAAGGGTTAAGGAATACCTTACTTTAAGATGCTGTGTATAAATGCTTCCTTTATTGTCTAATGGTTACGCTCAAATAACAGAATACAGGTCAAGGTCACAAATGTAGACACAAACACCAAAACACAGAATATTTTAGTATTAACCATAGTGAATTCATCCAAAACATTTCTGAATTGAAAAGTTAGTACTTTCTAAATGTACTCAAAGGTTAGTTGTTCGCTTACCTTTAGTGACATCTAGTGGTTAGAAAAAATATTTAGGTAAACAAGTGCATCACACTACATTTGCTTTAGGATGTTAAAATATTTAAATAATCTCATGGGGTGTCTTTGATTGTTTCTGGCCTACAACTCCCATAATCCTCAACTAAGCTTGGCTTAGGGAGCTGTAAGTTCATAGAGCACTAGGTGAGGTTTGGGCTACGATTAAAATCCCTTCAATGACTACCATATGGAAAAAAACTCAGTCAGCAATGGAAATTGATAAACTAGCTTTGCAGTTACACGTCACACCCAAATCCTCTGAAATAATGTGGAATTATTGGCTAAATGGAGAAATCCCTACTTACTTGGAAATCATTGATCTTAACCTCGGAATAAAGGCACTCCATCTCACACCTTTTACTCTTTCTCTCCTTGATTCTTTCTTAATTTGTCTCCCCCTATCCACTCTTCTATCTGGTCGTGAGCCTGGGCACTTCGTCATGCTCGTATCTACTCATCCTCTATATTTTCATTTCAATATTCCCCTATTTGGACCTAGTCCATTTTATTTCCTGTTTCCTGTTCTCTCTGACCCTATACCCCTTCTTCCCCATCACCTCTGCTTTTTATCTAAACACTGGAGCTTGCCATACCCAACTCATTCCCATTTTGCGCTGTTTGATACATTTTTATATTTGTTTTTGTACAAAGCTATCTTATTCACACGCAAGTTTCAGACTTATTTTCCAAATGCTTTATTTAACTCTGTTTTCTTTGAAATGGCATTGCCCATCATATAATATAAAGTTTAATGCTGACCTGTTATGGATCCAGTTACATTGTTATCCTTTTTATACTTGCATGTCAATTTATTTACTATATGCTTATCCTAAGACTCTTAAAAATGGAAATAAAGAATAAAAAAATTAAAAAAGTAAAATCAAATATTTTATTACAAAGGGCAAGTAAGGGCAGCCAATTGTGTAAAGTTATATAAAATGTTTTTTCTGTTGTTAGTGGTGTTTAAAAAGCAAATAGGGGTTTAATCTTTAATCTTTAAAGTCTTAACTAACAATGAGAAAGTGCTGGGTTTTTCTTACATAACTCCTACGGTTTTTCTTGTGACAATTTCTGACATTAAATGCTTTATGTCCTTTTTTTATTATTTATCACAGTACCGACTGCCCATACGAAACATTAACTTGACAACTGACTTTTATGATTTGTCCAGAACAGTTTTTGTAATTATGGCCAGTTTGGAAATGTTGCCGGTGCCAGCTGTCGTGGTGTAGATTTTGACAGCTGGATGTAAGGGTCTCACATTTCAGTGTTTATTCAGTAAACCATCAAGACTTAGCAGGACGAGGCTGTAGATGTTGGTAAGAAGGTCCAGGGTGTAAGGTCTTAAGCAGCGATTCTTTTTAGTCACAATCTGGAAGTAAATGAAATGTGTATATTTAATATGTTACAAGGCAATAAAAGTGGGTAATGTAATAATGGCTAAAATTATTGTTTGAGTACTGCAGGACTTTTCAGCCCATACAAAAAACAATTGCAGCTCAGAGTCTGCAAAGGAGATTTATCAAAGTGTTCTTTTTATGGGAGTTCAAAAATCTGTTTAATAATTTAATAAAGTGTTTTAAACACGATTTAAAGAAATTTCACCTTTCTCTTATTTATATTCAGATTTTCTTTGTGTGCTTCTACCATTATGTCCCACATACTAAGAGTAAACTGGGAATGTTCTATGAATACTCTCTATCACTTTCTACGCCAATAAAAGAAGTGTAAAAGAGCTTCAGAAATGTGAACATTTTTTTGGTGCACAAAATACCATATGACATATATTTCATGTGCAAAAAAAACAACAAAACAAATTAATTGTGCTACACAAAACACAAAAGAAAAAGTCTATTGAAAGTAATCGATCAAACAAAAACCTCAGAATTGATTATTCCAAAAAATCCTGAATGTGCAGATTATTAAGTGGCTTTTTAGCCTCCCCTTGTGTGTGCAACAGATTGAGTGTGTGGGCATTTTGTGTGTGTGTTGTGTGTGTGCGTATATATATATGTACAGGTGTGACAGCCTGTACCTGTTTATGTGTCAATGTGTTTACTGGTGTCACTGTGTGTAAAAGTGCCTAAGAACTGAGAGAGAAGCAAGATACACACAGGAGATAAACCGAAATAATTGAGACTGTAAAATTCTAATGGAAAGTAAAATCATTATAATATTTCATTGTTGCTTATAAGTAAATGCAATTATAAGTGTGCAATTCTATATCTGTGTACAAGTAAGGTTTGAAGCAATCTACTTCTTCAGTTACACTTTGCAGGGATCTTCTCTGTAACACTATTGTAATAATATATTAGAGTTGTGCACTTTGTTTAATTAGAATGGTTAAAATTGTAACAAATCCTACTGGATAAGATCAGGTAAGAAATACTTTTAATAATTTTGAAATGAAGTATTGATGTTTTAACACAACATAGAAGTAAAGGTGCACAAAGTCAACCACTTCAACACACAGACCACATTAGTTTCGGACGTTTTTTTTGTAGAGCGTACTTATTGCGGCTTTGTAAATTACCAATAAAGATATCCTGCGTTCCAGTGTGGCCGCACATGCACATATTTTGCCTTTAGTTCATTATATATTGAACTTGAAAGTGGTTGACTTTTTGCACCTTTACTTCTATCTTTACTTGCACTTTGGCACTTGCACTTTGTTCATTCAGTCCAGTGTCCCCCTGGACAAATAGGGAAGGGGGAGCATGACTGCTAACCAGGATAGTGGGAGGGTATAATGGGAGCAACAATGTTGCAAAGATGGAAGGATTCATAAAGGGGGAGCAAGGGAGGAGACTTACCAGTCAGAAGGAGATAGTCAGTCACCCTGGTTTAATTTCCCACCCTCCCTCCCTGTTTGGTGTTGTGGTGTGTTGGTGGTTTCTCGTGTTTTTTTTTTTTTTTTTTTCTCATTGTCACAGCTGGCGGTTTTCCCTGGACAGCGGAAGCGAAAAGGAAAGGAGTATGACGCAAGGTCACCTTGGGGAGACGACAGTCGGCGCAAGGCTGATGGCTAGCGACGGCTGTGTTGGGCTCTTGGCGAACAAAGAAGGAGAACTGCCTGTTGGGTCCTCACCCAACAGCTGGCAGGAATTAAGAATTAAATGTTACTGTTTAATAAAACTGTGGCCGTTGCCCTTATCCACTTAAAAGGGGTCCAGTGTTTTATTTGGGGGCAACGGTGGGATGGTAATGGGTCAGCAGTCCAGTATTATGTTGTGTTAAGCTGCTGTACATAAGGGTCTTTGGCCTATTGTGGCCTTTTTATTTATACATTTTTTATTGCACATGTTTTGTGCTGTCAAGTGTGGATACTTTGTTATCAATAAATTCTTGCTATTTTTTATCTCTGTTTCTATATTCCTTTTTTACCCCCATTTTATATTGTCGATATAGTGATTGTGGCGCCCTGTGTTTTCTGTTTTTTGGTGTTTATATTTGTGGTTGGAGTGACCTCCTCACAGTGGCTTGCCTGCACTTGGTTTTTTCACTGCCCTTCACCCACCTTTCACTTTAGTTATTGATGTTTTAATCCCGTAAGTACCACTTACATTACTTGTCTTCATAACAATCTGGTTCTCAAGGGAAAACTCCAAGCACCATAACCACTGCAGTATGCTTTAGAGGTGCCCTTTCATTTAAAGGAGTCTGATTTTTGAATAATTTGACTTATTGCCTGGAAACTGCAGGGTGCCGCTCTACCTTCTGCATTACCAACGATCCAGAGCCAGGAGTTCCTAAGTAGGAGTTTTAAAATTGCAACGACATTTATTTGATTAACCAAAAGCACAGCAAAAATCTAATGTTGAAGGGGACAGGAGCAAAACTATGCATTTTTCCAAAACAAGCAGAAAGTGTCAAAATGCCTTTGAATTTGTTATGGTGCTAGGAGGATCCCCAGCACACTCTTATCTTAAGGGGTTAAACCATTCTTGAATGGTATAGCCCCAAAAGTTGCCTTCAGCGCCGATGTCCAGATCCCCCAGACAGCATTTGGCTTCTGAATCTCAGTTACAGAAGGCGCAGAGCATGCCGGGCAGGAGCGCCATTGATTGGCTAGAGTGGTCAGCTGATGATTAAAAAGAAGTGTACCATTCAAAAGTGGTTTAACCCTTAAGTTAATAGTGCACACAAGGGCCTTCTGGCACCATAACAACTTCATTTAGAGTGTCCCTTAAACTGTTTAAGGTTGTTTTTAAAAAAAAATCCCAAATTTCTTTGTTTTCAGTTTCATCTGAAAGCAATAAAAATAATTAAATGGCCTTAAAAATAATAGATATAAATGATGTTACCAGGCTCGGGCATAAAACACTTGTCTCCTTCTGGCATTTCATCATCGAAGCAGCATCCATTGTCCTGACATTCTTTTTGGGTTTTTCCGTCAGAGTCACACTTTGTTCGTTCTTCTACAGGAATATCACACACAGACGAAGCTATGGAGGAAGCAAGAGACAAGAAAGATACCTGAGCATTAACAAACAAAGCAAACAAAGGAGATAAACTGCAATAAACAGCCGGTAACACCACATCATTCAAATTATCAGTTTAATCATAACACTTCATTGTTACTTATATCTATTGGAATTCTATTTCTCTGTACGTGTGAGGTTTGAAACGGTCATTCTCTTCAATTACACTTTCCAGGGATCTTCTCTGTTACACTATTGTAACAATTTATTAGAGTTCTGCACTTTATTGTAGAAGTTAAAATTGTAACAAATCCTACATATAAGATCTTATTATAGATTTTAATAATGTTGAAGTAAAGCTTTTAGCTCCTAAAAGGGACACTATAGGCACCCAGAACACTTCAGCTCATTGAAGTGGTCTGGGTGCTGGGTCCCTTTTGCACTATGTGCTCCAATGTTTACATTGCAGCTCTAAGTCTTCCCACAGTGGCTATCTACCAGACAGCCACCAGAGGGATTTCTGGTTTGAAACAAACCTTTTGTCTGGTATCTGATGCTGGACGTCCTCACGATATGCATGAGGAGTATAAGATTTTTACGAAATACTAATGCGAGTGCGGACATTGCGCATTAGCTGGAGCATGGGTGGAGCAAGGGCAGAGCCTGACCCAGGGCCGAAGGACATCGACGCTGGATTCAGGTAAGTGACTAAAGGGGTTTTAACCCCTTCAGCACTGCCGGAGGGGTGTCACGAGGGAGGGGGGGGGACCTTAGAAACCTATAGTGCCAGGAAAACGGCAGTATAGAATCCCTTTAAGTATGAATGACATTATTTGCTTTCATCACAAGCTGGTCCACAAAGGGACACTATAGGCACCCTCAATCAACTGAAGTGGTATGTGTGAATTGTCCCTGTCCCCCTTAATCCTGCAATAAGAAACTACAATGTTTATATTGCAGCACTAAGACAGCCTCAAGTGGTGTTCTACCACACAGCCACTAAAGGTGCTTCCGGGATTTTACTAGACTTTAGGTCACCTACTGAAGCATTTCCTGCTTGAGGACTTTCAGCATCAGTAAAATCCCCATAGGAAAGCATAGGAGAAATGTGCTTATTGCACTTGCGGTGTTTGCCACACATGCACGTTGCACACTAGCCTTCTAGGTTGGAGGCAAAGCGCCAACCAATCGGCGCTGGAATTGGCTAAGTGATTAAAGGGACGGGGAAGGCAGAGGGCACTACAGATTGGTATTCCTAACACTATAGAATGCTTTTAAAAGAATGCTTCAGAGTGTTGTAGTAGTTATTGCGACAAGAGTGCACTGGCACCATCCCCAGGGGAAGTACTAATGCGAGCGCAGCCATTGCTGTGCATGCGCATTAGGTCTTCCCCACTGGCTGATGTCGGCAGAGCAGGAGCGGAGGCAGAGCCCGAGCCAGGGCTGAGAGACATCAGTGCTGGAATCAGGGAAGTGACAGAAGTTTTTTTAACCCTTTCTGCACCACGGAGGGGGCCCTTGACATAAGCCGGACATTATAGGGAGCTATACTGCCAGCACTATATTTTCCCTTTAATTCATAGTGATTGGGTTTATTTCATACCTGGGGTGGCTCTGGCTTTATTGGAAGTTCGAAGCTTTTAGAGTAAAGGGGGTGAAGGGATCTATAACTATGAGGTGCCTTTAAAAAGTATTAAATGTTTTTACTGCTTTGTCCAAAGGAATTCATAAATAACCTTCAGCGTTCCAAACAACAGGTGATGTCATACATTATATATCATATATTTCTGCAAAGGATGGACAAAGAATTGAAGCAAAAATATTTTTCCTTAAAGAGACACCATAACAACATTATCTAAATGAAGTTATTATGGTGCCAGGAGGCTCCTGGGCACATTCTTACCTTAAGGGGTAAACCATTCTTGTACAATATAACCACAAAAGATGCCTTCAGCACCAATCTCCAGATCCCCTGGACGTATCCGGCTTCTGAATCTCAGTTACAGGAAGCGCTGAGTGCGTCGGGCAGGGCCGCCGCTGATTAACTAGAACGGTCAGCGAATGCTCTAAGCCAATCGGTATCTGCCCATTGATAAAAATATAAATGTACTGTTCAAGAACGACTTAATCCTTAAAGGTAAGAGGGCCTACTGGCACCAACACAACTTAATTTAGCTGAAGTTGATATAGTGACCGGACTGTCCCTTTAAATGTTTAAGGTTGTTTTCATTTACATTTTTTTTTCCAAATTACTTTATTTTAGGTTTCATCTGACAGCAATCAAAACTATTAAATGGCATTATAATAATGCAAATAATAATGATATAAATTATGTTACCAGGGTCGAGCATAAAACACTTGTCTCCTTCTGGCATTTCGTCATCGAAGCAGCATCCCTTGTGGAAACATTCGCTCTCGGTGTTTCCTTCAGAGTCACACTTTATTCTTCCTTCTAAAGGAATATCACACACAGACGAAGCTATGGAGGAAGCAAGAGACAAGAAAGATACCTGAGCATTGACAAACAAAGCAAACAAAGGAGATAAACCGCAATAAACAGCCGGTAACACCAAATCTTTCAAATAGCAGGAGGATTTATCAGTTTAATCATAACACTTCATTGTTATTTATATCTATTGGAATTCTATTTCTCTGTACGTGTGAGGTTTGAATATATCAGCCATGAAGTGGTCTGGGTGCCAGGTCCCTCAGGTTTTAACCCTTAACATGTAAACATAGCAGTGTCAGAGGAACTGCTATGTTTACATTTGGGGTTAAACCAGCTTCTAGTGGCTGTCTTCCGGGCAGCCACTAGAGGGGCATCTTCAACGCTGGATGCGAAATTCGACTCCATTGCGCAGAGCATCCATAGGAAAGCATTGAGAAATGCTTTCCTTTGGACACTTTGCCAAGCATGCGCATTCGGCTCCAGTGACATCAGACAGGGGAGCTGACGTCGGACGGGGAGGAGAGGTCACCAGCGCCGAGGGAGCCCGGCACTGGATTAAGGTAAGTTGCTGAAGGGGTTTTAACCCCTTTAAGGTTTGAAACGGCACTTTGTTTAATTATAGTACTTCAAATTCTAACGAATCCTACGGGATAAGACCAGTTGAGAAATACTTTAAATAATGTTGAAATAAAGCAATGATGTTTTAGCTCATTAAGTATCAATGACATTATTTGCCTTCATCACAATCTGGTCCTTAATATGTCCCCGGACCAATTTAGCTCACTGAAGTGGTCTCGGTGCATTGTCTCTGTCCCCCTTAGTCCTAATTACATTGCAGCACTACCAGACAGCCACTGGAGGTGCTCCCAGGATTTTAACAGACTTTAGGTCGCCTAACTGACGCTGTACATCCTCACGCTCTGCATGAGGACATCCAGCTTCAGTAAAATCCCCATACGAAAGCATTGGATGACGCTCTGCATGAAGACATCCAGCATGTGTTATATTTGGCACTGGAATTGGGTAAGTCATTAAAGGGTTTTTAACCCTTTATTGGCCAGGGGGCCTATGAGGGAGGCAGGGGCCAGAGGGAACTATAGTGTTAGGAATACAGATTTGTATTCCTAACACTATAGAACCCCTTTAAACAAATGCTTCAGAATGTTGTTGTGGTTGTGGTTATGGTGCCAAGAGTGCCCTGGTACCATCCCCCTTTTTCCCATAGTAAGCAGTCAAACCATTTTTGAACAGTTTGACTTCTTACCTGGAGTCCTCTGGGAGCCGCACCACGCTTGCACTACCAGCTTCAGAAAGTGAGAAATTCCTTTTAAAGACAGAATGTTTTGATGGAAAAAGCTATCATTGGTACTTGATGGGTTAATGCATTGCAGTCCAGTTTAATTTGTGGTGATTGGATTTATCTCACACCTGGGGTGGCACTTACTATATTGGAATTTCAGCATTTTGGGATTAAAGAAAAGGGTGAGGCAACGATAATTAACCCTCAGTGTTCTAAACAACACAGAATGTCATACGTTATAACCACCAATATTTCTGCAAAGATGGACAAAGAAATTCAAATAAAATGCATTTTTCCTAAATGTTCAAAGTTTCATTTGACAGCAATCCAATAAATAAAATACATAAAACAATTGCTAAAGATGTAAATGACGTTACCAGCCTCGGGTATAAAACACCAGATAGCATCTGGTGTTATATCATCAAAGCAGCATCCTTGGTCAATACATTCTTGTCTCGTGATTCCTCCAAAGCCACAGTTTAACCTCTCCTTGGGAGAAAATTTGCACTCATCGTCAGCTATGGAAGAAATAAGGTACATACAGTTATCTACTTTATAGATTTGTGCGCATATCCAAAACAGGCACATTAACTAAATGTAAATTCAAGTAGAATTCCAGTAATCATTCATTGTTAAATAATATTAAGAATTAAAATCATTAAGCTTGGTAGCGCCTTCAAGCGGACAATGACATACAATGCATTTTAATATCAAGATGTGTCACATTGTGGAATTGAAACAGCCATAGTCGTAGCGCAATTATTCTTTTTTTTTTTTGGGGGGGGGGGTGGATGTTATTGCCCTCCCCCCACCATGAGCCTTTGAATTCGCTGAATATTCTACAGCAGCAATTGATCTGTTTAATTGTTGGGATCACTGACAGCAGCCCTATATGCCCTGCTGAGAGGAGGGCACTGACCTGTGCTTACTGAATATGTTATAGGTGATCACAAAACAGGAACTATTACATATATTTAATTTAATGGGGTATGGTCAGGACAACTTTGCCAAATAGCTGATTTTGACAGACCACCTGGAAACCCAGGACTGGTACATGGCTCCCAACCACGACCTTCCTCTTAATAGGACTATAAGCATCACATGTACCCCTCCTGTCTGTGCCTCCCAGCCCAGCACTCCTTTCCAGTGGCCAAGGAGTTATCACAGACTGGAAGTACACTCATGGCTTTCCTGACCGGCAGGAACCCACAAACTCTCTGGAACTCCTAATCAGATGGTAGAGTTGCCACGATCCGGTAAAACTTTGTCAAGCATGCTCTTGGTCCAAGAGTCACCAAACAGGACACTATTTGGAGGGAGGTAGAGGGGGTGTTGAAGCATCGAATAATACCACAGACTTGCTTGAGCTCCATGTACCGACGGAACGTGCCATCATTTTAGGTGACTCGAATTTCCCACACAGCGCTGGGTCAGAGTACAGTCACGGCCCAGTCAAAACTTTACTACCAGCCAAGTCAGGCAAGATATCTTGAAGTGAGTGCTTTTTGGACAAAATGGGCTTTGTTTTTTGGGGGAATGGCATTTATTTGGGAATGTGGGCACAGGGGCCTTGTTTTATTGTACAAATAGTTTTTCAGTGCCGAGGTGTTTGGCTGCTATGTAAACTACCTGGTCAGGCACAGATACCTAGGTGCCAGGTATGTTGCACTGTTCATTGTTCTCCTCAGGACCTCCTGTTGGGGACCCAAGTATAAATGTGTGCCATTCAGTCAATAAAATCAGTTCTGCTTCACCCTACACTACATACATACTCTGGGCTATAATTACTAAAGGGAATGGAGTCTTTGGCAGTGACAATTCTGTGAGTAGGCCGCAACACAGATATTATTTTATACTACAGCATATCAAAGGATGTTTTTCATGTCAGATCCCTGTCATCCATTAAAGGTATAACATATACACAACACTCATATATTAGAACTGACTGTCATGTTATTATTATATATGAGCCACAGGGATTCTATTATCATATCCATGTATTAACTAGTTTTCCAACTTAGCTAAAGGAGAATATTCACCTTAAACAGAAATAAGTCAAAATGTAAGAATAATCATGCAGATTCACTTTGATGACAAAATATCCGAGTTTTTTTCAGAACATCTGCCATTTTGAATTCAGACACAGTTGTAAACATATTGTGAGGGTTATGTACTAAAGCATGAATTGTTGGGAATTCAAAATGACAATTTAATTTTAAATTGATCTGGAAACATAATTGACTTGATGAATTTTTCCAATTTTGCTATTTTAGACAATTCACACTACATTCATCGTGTAGCCAGTGAGATAGCTCAGTGGGCTAATAAATCATCTGTTGAATCTGTTCAACCCTTGGGTCCCGGCAGGGTTGACTCAGCCCTTCATCCTTCCAAGGTAGATAAAATGAGTACCATTAAGTTGTTGGGTAATAGTAACAACCCCTGGATGTTGGGCTAAAGTAACATCCCCAGTATGTACTTGAAAACCTGACTCATCTTAATATACATTTCCTGGTTAAATACTGTGTTATTATGATTATTATTAATCCATAAGCATTCTAGGCCTCTCTATTGAGGGAGATGCTTGGATACCATAGAGAGAAGGAACAATGGTGACAATATTTTTCTAAAAAACAAATAAATATTGGACTTTGCAGATGGTGATAGGTGATAAAAGATTCATTAGCAGAGTCAAGGAGGGGACTGGAGATTAAGTTAAAGAAACACTATGTAGTAAACTAACTATTTAGATCACCACCTCGCCTTACAACGCAAAAAAGGTGTTTAAAAATTTTTTAGACATATTTCCCAAACTATGCCAGTTTCACCATGGCTGGCTTAGTCTCTGTGGCTGAGATCATCAATCCCACAGGAAAGCATTGGGAGGCTATTGAACAAGTACGGCAAAACGCTGAGTTGTGCCACTCAGCATCTTCTCATAGAGATGCATTGAATCAAAACTGTGGAGATGCTGAATGTAGGTTGGAAGCACCTCTCATGGCCGTCTGAGTGACTACCTCAAGAGGTGTTACTAGGCAGCAATGTAAACAGTGCCTTTTCTCAACCTGCAGGGACAGGCTATAGACACCAGAATCACTACATTTAGGAAGCCCATGACGATTATCGACAACATATTCTTTTAGCCTTAACATCCAAGTATTTAGTCTGCATTTATCTAGCAACAGCATTGAACATGACTGTAACCAAAATTGTATTCACTGTGTTCTCAGCCCCCACTTTTTTTTTCTTCATTACCTGCACAACCATGTGTATTTGTTTTGAAAACAGATAGGATCACTGTTTATAATAAGTATATAATTCTCTGTTTAGATCACTGTTTATAATAAGTATATAATTCTCCACACATTTAGTTCCATTTCTATTCATCTTCTGATAATGACCTTTCTTTTCTCTCTTTATTAAACTCTAGACTAGCTCCTCTGCCCCTGTATTATCCTGACCTCATTATATCAGCTCCTCTGCCCCTGTATTATCCTGACCTCATTATATCAGCTCATCTCCCTCCTGTATTATCCTGACCTCATTATATCAGCTCATCTCCCCCTGTATTATCCTGACCTCATTATATCAGCTCCTCTGCCCCTGTATTATCCTGACCTCATTATATCAGCTCCTCTCCCCCTGTATTATCCTGACCTCATTATATCAGCTCCTCTCCCCCTGTATTATCCTGACCTCATTATATCAGCTCCTCTCCCCCTGTATTATCCTGACCTCATTATATCAGCTCCTCTCCCCCTGTATTATTCTGACCTCATTATATCAGCTCCTCTCTCCCTTTATTATTCTGACCTCATTATATCAGCTCCTCTCCCCCTGTATTATCCTGACCTCATTATATCAGCCCCTCTCCTTCCTGTATTATCCTGACCTCATTATATCAGCTCCTCTCCTCCTGTATTATCTTGACCTCATTATATCAGCTACTCTCTCCCTGTATTATCCTGACCTCATTATATCAGCTCCTCTCCCCCTGTATTATCCTGACCTCATTATATCAGCCCCTCTCCCCCTGTATTATCCTGACCTCATTATATCAACTCCTCTCCCCCTGTATTATTCTGACCTCATTATATCAGCTCCTCTCTCCCTTTATTATTCTGACCTCATTATATCAGCTCCTCTCCCCCTGTATTATCCTGACCTCATTATATCAACTCCTCTCCCCCTGTATTATCCTGACCTCATTATATCAGCCACTCTCCACCTGTATGATCCTGACCTCATTATATCAACTCCTCTCTCCCTTTATTATTCTGACCTCATTATATCAGCTCCTCTCCCCTTTATTATTCTGACCTCATTATATCAGCTCCTCTCCCCCTGTATTATCCTGACCTCATTATATCAGCTCCTCTCCCCTCCTGTATTATCCTGACCTCATTATATCAGCTCCTCTCCCCCTGTATTATCCTGACCTCATTATATCAGCTCCTCTCCTTCCTGTATTATCCTGACCTCATTATATCAGCTCCTCTCCGCCTGTATTATCTTGACCTCATTATATCAGCTCCTCTCTCCCTGTATTATCCTGACCTCATTATATCAGCTCCTCTCCCCCTGTATTATCCTGACCTCATTATATCAGCCCCTCTCCCCCTGTATTATCCTGACCTCATTATATCAGCCCCTCTCCCCCTGTATTATCCTGACATCATTATATCAGCCACTCTCCACCTGTATGATCCTGACCTCATTATATCAGCTCCTCTCCACCTGTATTATTCTGACCTCATTATATCAGCTCCTCTCTCCCTTTATTATTCTGACCTCATTATATCAGCTCCTCTCCCCCTGTATTATCCTGACCTCATTATATCAGCCCCTCTCCTTCCTGTATTATCCTGACCTCATTATATCAGCTCCTCTCCTCCTGTATTATCTTGACCTCATTATATCAGCTACTCTCTCCCTGTATTATCCTGACCTCATTATATCAGCTCCTCTCCCCCTGTATTATCCTGACCTCATTATATCAGCCCCTCTCCCCCTGTATTATCCTGACCTCATTATATCAACTCCTCTCCCCCTGTATTATTCTGACCTCATTATATCAGCTCCTCTCTCCCTTTATTATTCTGACCTCATTATATCAGCTCCTCTCCCCCTGTATTATCCTGACCTCATTATATCAACTCCTCTCCCCCTGTATTATCCTGACCTCATTATATCAGCCACTCTCCACCTGTATGATCCTGACCTCATTATATCAACTCCTCTCTCCCTTTATTATTCTGACCTCATTATATCAGCTCCTCTCTCCCTTTATTATTCTGACCTCATTATATCAGCTCCTCTCCCCCTGTATTATCCTGACCTCATTATATCAGCTCCTCTCCCCCCTGTATTATCCTGACCTCATTATATCAGCTCCTCTCCCCCTGTATTATCCTGACCTCATTATATCAGCTCCTCTCCTTCCTGTATTATCCTGACCTCATTATATCAGCTCCTCTCCGCCTGTATTATCTTGACCTCATTATATCAGCTCCTCTCTCCCTGTATTATCCTGACCTCATTATATCAGCCACTCTCCACCTGTATGATCCTGACATCATTATATCAGCTCCTCTCCCCCTGTATTATCCTGACCTCATTATATCAGCCCCTCTCCCCCTGTATTATCCTGACCTCATTATATCAACTCCTCCCCCCCCTGTATTATTCTGACCTCATTATATCAGCTCCACTCTCCCTTTATTATTCTGACCTCATTATATCAGCTCCTCTCTCCCTGTATTATCCTGACCTCATTATATCAACTCCTCTCCCCCTGTATTATCCTGACCTCATTATATCAGCTCCTCTCCCCAGTATTATCCTGACCTCATATCAACTCCTCTCCCCCTGTATTATCCTGACCTCATTATATCAGCCACTCTCCACCTGTATGATCCTGACCTCATTATATCAGCTCCTCTCCCCCTGTATTATCCTGACCTCATTATATCAGCTCCTCTCCCCCTGTATTATCCTGACCTCATTATATCAACTCCTCTCTCCCTTTATTATTCTGACCTCATTATATCAGCTCCTCTCTCCCTTTATTATTCTGACCTCATTATATCATCTCCTCTCCCTCTGTATTTTTCTGACCTCATTATATCAGCTCCTCTCCCCCTGTATTATCCTGACCTCATTATATCAGCTCCTCCCCCCCTGTATTATCCTGACCTCATTATATCAGCTCCTCTCCCCTTGTATTATCCTGACCTCATTATATCAGCTCCACTCCTCCTGTATTATCCTGACCTCATTAAATCAGCTCATCTCCCCCTGTATTATCCTGACCTCATTATATCAGCTCCTCTCCCCCTGTATTATCCTGACCTCATTATATCAACTCCTCTCTCCCTTTATTATTCTGACCTCATTATATCAGCTCCTCTCTCCCTTTATTATTCTGACCTCATTATATCATCTCCTCTCCCTCTGTATTTTTCTGACCTCATTATATCAGCTCCTCTCCCCCTGTATTATCCTGACCTCATTATATCAGCTCCTCCCCCCCTGTATTATCCTGACCTCATTATATCAGCTCCTCTCCCCTTGTATTATCCTGACCTCATTATATCAGCTCCACTCCTCCTGTATTATCCTGACCTCATTAAATCAGCTCATCTCCCCCTGTATTATCCTGACCTCATTATATCAGCTCCTCTACCCAGTATTATCCTGACCTCATTACACATTCTATTATCTCCTCTCCTCCTTGTATTATCTCACCCTTGCTATATCATCCCCTTAGTATCAGCATTTATACAGCACTAACATATTCTGCAGCTATATATATATATATATATATATATATATATATATTCAGGCAGATATATATAATTAGGCGAACCAATACATTTACTGGTGAGGTGGTGAGGCCTGACCTGGATTCAAATCTGCATTTCCCAGGTTTCCCTGTTCTAAATTAACACTGTTCTAGCCAACAGATATCTGGTGCCCTCTGTGACGAAGTGCCCTTCGCCACTTGTGCCTGGAGAGGACTGCTTGCCCGCCTCTTGCCCTGTGACTATGGACCCTGGGAGATTTGGCCCGTTCAATTCAGTATGACAGGAGTTATGTATTTTTGTATCCTTTATGTTTTACTGGGAATATGTGCTCAATGGAGTCTGCTTCTATCCCTGAATGATTGGATTACTTTCCCCATTGTCTCCAGGCTAGAGGGCTCTGTAAAACCAGTTTGGGCCAGATAGCCATGCTGCCAGCCAGGCCCCAAAAGATACTTTACTAACTTCTGAACCCCTGGTCTGATTCATGCCATTTTTTGATATGTTGTTTCCCTGAATGGATTGATTGTGAATATATATATATTTTTATGTGAATGTGATGTATATTTTAGAAGTTATGAATGCTGTAAAAACTGTATTATTTCTGGCCAGCAGATAATTGAGCTTTGTGTATTGTAGAAACTCTATTATCTAGCCTGGCCCAGAGGAGGAGTTTTGTGTTGCATAAATTGTGAGTTCTGTGTGCCAGTAAATCAGTCTTGGCTCATGTTTGGGGGATTGGAGAAATACACTCTGGGGATTGCTATAATCACTATACTCCCCAGGGTATGATCACTAAGTTCTGCTAAGAGCTTGTTCCTGCTCTCTGGGGAAAGAGAGGTTCACCCACTGGAAGCTGGATCCTGGCCTTGGGTCCAGGGTGGGTGGAGACAGCAGAGACCCCGGCGCAGTTGCATCGCTGGAAGTGGGGTCTGCAGTGCTGATGGTGTCGGTTGGAGTGCTTGGAGTCCTCAGCGAGCACTAGGAGCATCGATTGGCGGAGGTACTCAGTCGGAGTGCCAGTGGTCCGTCACACCCTCTATATCAGCTCCTCTCACCATTTACAAGGTAATTTCCTGGTGGGCCGGCATACCTTCAGGCAGTTCATGGCCTCATAGTGTGCACCGGAAGAGGAGTGGTGTGCACAATCATTGGATGACCGTCAGTAGGGGAAGCACTCCCCTCCTACTGGTCACTCTATGTAGCATGGCCGAGCATACCACGGGTAGAGAAGCTCTACCCAGCCTGACAGGAAGTGCTCTCAATGAGCATATCCTGTCAGACCTGGTAGAGTAAATAGAAGATCCTCTACCCATAGTCCACAGCTCTGCCACGCTGCAAGAAGGCCAAGAGTGTAGTAGGAGACACATGGAGGGGTGGGGGAATGAGACACCTAGGGGCTAAGGGGGGAATGAGACACAAGGAGGGGCTGGATGGGAATGAGAAACATGGAGGGGCTATGGACTAAACAAATGCAGGGCTTAGGGGGAATGAGACACATGGAGGAGCTGGGTGAATGAGACACATGGAGTGATTGTGGGAGAATGAGACACATAGAGAGGCTGGGGGGGGGAATTAGACAGCAGGAGAGACTGTGTGGAATTAAACACACAGAGGGTCTGGAAAGAAAAAAAGACACGCTGAGGGGGTAAAAGAGATACACAGAGTGGCTGGGGGAAGTAATAGCCAAACATAAATGGGGAGAGACAACCAAAAGGGCTGGAGAGGAGAAAGACAGTGCCTGGGAAAGGGGAATAGGACACACAAAGGGGCTGAGGAAGGTGAACAATAGACACACAGAGGGGCTGGGGAAGGAGAGAATGAAACACACAGAGGGTTTGTGGCAAAAAAAGACACATAGACGTGCTGGGGGGTTAGTAGAACATACCCAAAGGGGGTTTGTAAGAGACACACAAGAAGAATATAAAACACAAAAAGCGGAAAATTGGAGATAAGATACACTAAAGCAGGTAAAGCATACAAAAGAGGGGATAAAAACAAAGAAACTCAAAATGGAGGTTAAGAGAAAGAGAGGTGCATTGGAAGGAATACAACTTCTCCTGTGTCTCCGGTCTCCCTGTAACTCAGTTCTTCAGCACAGGAGTCTATGCCGAGGAGTCATTTCCCTTTTCATTACCAGTCCCCTCTGGTCTGTCTACTCCATATTAGCAGAGATCAGGCTTATCCTTGTATTGCACATCTGCTTCATACCCCTTATCAATATCATCTGCTCTTTTATTCTTTTCCCTCTTTTTACAATATAATCACCTTCCTATATATGGTTCATCCTGTGTGTACTCATCATTAAACACCTTATGAGGACTGGACTTATGGTTACCGTGTAGAATTATTATCAGACTTAGAATCTCAGAACCTGCAGTGTTATTGTCATTGCTACAGAATAACACATGGATTAAATGTTTTCCTGCATTTGGCTCCTCTATCTCTATGATTATATATTGCTTCTAGAAAAAATAAAAAAACACTTACTTGATTTCACAGCAAAGATCATATGCCCTATTATAAGCATAGTAGTCAGATTGCAAAATAGTCTCGAATCCATTTCAATCCTGTATGTTTTTAAATTCAATAAATGTCCGTAATGACGGGAGTAGAGAAGAATTGAATCAAGACCTCCAAGGGGTTTTCTTTTTATATGGTTAAGTTATTTACTGAATCCGTCCAATCAGGTTTGCAAAGGGAGAGGCACAAAACTGTCTTCAATTACCCCACCCAAGTGTTCGAAATGATTAAAAAAAGTGACTCAGGGTAACCGCATTCTATCTTAAGATAAGACGCTCTATTAATCTCATAACATTCTTAATAGTGTGGATTTTATTTATGTCATTTGATATGTGTGAAATTATTAGAAGGAAGGGCACACCATTAGTCCAGGAGCTACAAGAAACACAAGTAAAATGTAACCAAAAATAGCAATAGGCATGGGCGTCGGCAGGAATTTTTCCAGGGGGGGGCATAATTGTAATGACATCCATGCTTGGTACCTTTTTGACAGTGTCATGAAAGGGAAGGGGCATAGCCATTATCACATAAAGCCAGGGTGAATAGCGTTTTCACAACTATGGTGTCAGGAATATATGTTTGTATTCCTGACATTATAATGTTCTTTTAAGCAAATTAAAGGACCATTCTGGTCACCATAACAACTTCACCTAAATGAAAATGCTATGATGCCAGGAAGCCCCTGGGTGCTCGCTTTCCTTTAAGGGGTTAAATCGCTCTCAAATGGTTTAACCCCAAAGGCTTCCTCCAGCTCCAGGTCACTCAGTGGTATTTGGCTTCTGAAACAGAGTGTCAGGAAGTGCAGATTGACGTCAGGCATGGGTGCCGCTGATTGGCTAGAGTGGACAGTTGACGCTCTAAGCCAATCGCTAGTTCCCGGTTCATAAAATATTTTTACTTTTTTATGAATGGGGAGCTACTGATTGGCTTAGAGTGCCAGCTGACCGCTCTAGCCAATCAGCAACACCCCTACCCAACGGCACTCTGTGCTTCCTGACACTCAGTAAATAAAAGTGAACACATTAATACTGATATTTTTTTACCTTTGGAGATGAGAAGGTCCAGTGTTTCCCTGCCTGGCCCAGGTACCAAAGCCTTATGATGTGGTGTCCAGAATAAAGTGGAGGGTTCACTTCATTTGTCCTTCCTGCTCCAATCTCCTTTTCCTCTCCTTCATTTGACAGTCTTTTTTTTCTTCTGACACTGTTTTCTATCCTTGGCCCCTTCTGCTCTTTTACCTTTCTGCTACTTTCTGCTTATTTTGCGCCCTTCTGCTCCTTTCTCATTCTGATCCCTTTCTGCTCCCTTTTCTACTTTACCTTTGTGCTCCTTGCTGTCCCTTTTTGCTCTTTCTCCTACTTTACCTTTTGTGCTCCTTCTGATTCTTTCTGCTCCTTTACCTTTGTGCTCCTTGCTGTCCCTTTGTGCTCCTTGCTGCCCCTTTCTGCTCCTTGCTGCCCCTTCCTGCTCATTCTCCTACTTTACCTTTGTGCTCCTTCTGCCCCTTCCAGCTCATTTCTGACCCTTTCTGCTCCTTCTACTTTACCTTTGTGCTGCTTTACCTTCCAGCTCCTTGCTGACCCGTCCTGTTCATTTCTGTTCCTTTGTGCTCCTTCTCCTACTTTACCTTTTGTGCTCCTTGCTGTCCCTTCCAGCTCCTTGCTGCCCCTTTCTGCTCCTTGATGTCCCTTCCTGCTCATTTCTGTTCCTTCTCCTTTTCTTACCTTACCTTCCTGCTCCTTGTTGACTCTTCATGTAGGCTGTCTCCCCCATTCCTCACTTCTATAGGCGTGCGCACGGGGTGTGTCGGGTGTGCCTGGGCACACCCTAATCCCCGCGGCACGCCAATGGATTGAGACCGACAGGGGAGATCTCTGGATCTCCCCGGTCGGCTCATGCAGAGCCGACGCTATCCGAGCGGCGGCTCTGGTCTAAGCCTACATGGGCTGATGGGGAGATCAAAGTTCGACCTCACCGGTCCACAGCAGCATGGAGGGAGGCAGCAGAGAACCCGGGCTAGAGTTCACTCTCCACTGAACCACCAGGGAAGGCAGCAGGACTGGGATATTAACTAGTCTGCCCCCACCTCCACCCAAACATACAGCACACACACATACAGCACACACAGCCCACAAACAGCACACACACACACACACACAGCACCTACACACATACATCACCCTCGCACACACAGCACCCACACACACCCAGCACACTAACAGCATCCTCACAAACACACAAAACCCACACACAACACCCGCACAGCACCCACACACAAACAGCACACTCTCATACAAACAGCACCCTGACAAACACACATCACCGGCACACAAACAGCACACTAACAGGACCCGAACAAACACGCACACACAAACACCCTCTCACACACACACACAGCACACTACCAGTTCCCTCACAAACAGCACCCTCACACACAGCACACTAACAGCACCATCACACACACACACAGCAGTGTGTGTGTATACATATATATATATAACAGATATATATATATATATATATATATATATACACACGCACACACATACATATACACATGGCGTGTGTTTGTGCTTTAGGGTGCACACCCTAATGCAATAGGCTGCGCACGCCTATGCTCACTTCCCTTATCTATAGGCTGCCCCCCCCCATGCCTCACTCCCCTAATCTATAGGCTGCTGCCCCCCCAAAATCAATAGGCTGCTACCCCCCAAATCTATAGGCTGCTGCCCCCCCCAAATTTATAGGCTGCTGCCCCCCAAAATCTATAGGCTGCTGCCCCCCAAAATCTATAGGCTGCTGCCCCAAAAAATCTATAGGCTGCTGCCCCAAAAATCTATAGGCTTCTGCCCTTCCCCCCCAAAATCTATAGGCTGCTGCTAAATCTATAGGCTGCTGCCCCCAAAAAAATCTACAGGCTGCCCCCCAAAAATCTACAGGCTGCTGCCTTCCCCCAAAAAATCTACAGGCTGCTGCCCAAAAAAAAATCTACAGGCTATCTCAAACCATCCCCCACTTACCTGATCTGTAGGCTGTCTCTGGCTGCATGTGTTGTTCCCCTGCGGTTTCAATCAGCAGAGAGAAGCAGGGATAAGATGCAGCTTCCTATCCCTGTCTCTCTCCATACACAGCGCCACCTACCGGTATTGCAGTTCATTTTAAATTTCACACGAAAAATATCAGAACAAGCTGAAAAATCCAGGGGGGGGCAAGTGCCCCCCCTTGCCCCCCCCTGCGGACGCCCATGGCAATAGGGTGCTCACTCAATAACGCTAATTCCCACAGAGTCTGAAGATACAACTAATAGTAAACGAATAAGGAGTACAACCAATAAAAATTTAACCAACTTTATTAAATAGGCATAAACATTTACATAATACCCACTAATGGATCAAAAATACATAGTAGAAAATAAACAGACAACATATCCTAAAATAGTCTGTCTATATATACATGGGTAACATATAACACACAGAAAAAAATTAAACAAATAGCATTCACAATTTGAATAAATAAATAATTGGATACCCAAGCAAAACAAACCGATCTGTGGGCGATATACCTGTATATAGACTGACTGTCTTAGGACGTGTAGTCTGGTCATTTTCTATCGCGTTATCTCTGGTAGTTACAACTCTAACTCGAATCTCATCTCAAGGTTTCTGATGAGGACATTTGGTTGTAAAGCCCTCAATTTAAGGCTATGCCTCACACGAGTTAGTAGGCATAAGCCTTGATTTAATATTTTTGGATGAGCATTCCAAATTATTTAATATTTTTAGATTTAAAAACTGATTTAATATTGTGAACAAATATTTACATTTTGTATTATTTTGATATTTTTTAATATATTGATATTCTTTTATATATTATATATATATATATTTTTTATATTTTGACATGTTAAATAAATCATTTAAAAGCTTATCCAAAAATATTAAATCATTTGGATAGCTCATCCAACAATATTAAATCAAGCCTCTTCATTAACCCAGCAGAGAGGACTTCTCCCTGACACACAGAAAGGTAGATAAAAACAAGGACGAGAGCTTTGAATGTGTTTCTGGGAAGGGTGGGGAAAGGCTCATTGTGGCTTGGATGGAATTCACAAAGCAGAGAAAGGGAATGAACAAGGCAGCAGGCAGAGATATGGAAAAAAACAATATTTGTGGCTGAAAAATCATTGTGCACTAATTTATGCAAAGAATATATATATTTATAAAGTCTATATATCTATAAGTATATTCATGTGTAAATGATGTATTGTTTTGGGTGATTTGAATCTGACTTTCTCCATTATAAATTTATGCTGAGCTCCTGCAAAAGTTAAAGGAACACTATAGTCACCTAAATTACTTTAGCTAAATAAAGCAGTGTTAGTGTATAGGTCATTCCCCTGCAATTTCACTGCTCAATTCACTGCCATTTAGGAGTTAAATTACTTTGTTTCTGTTTATGCAGCCCTAGCCACACCTCCCCTGGCTATGATTGACAGAGCCTGCATGAAAAAAAAAACTGGTTTCCCTTTCAAACAGATGTAATTTACCTTAAATAAATGTATCTCAATCTCTAAATTGAACTTTAATCACATACAGGAGGCTCTTGCAGGGTCTAGCAAGCTATTAACATAGCAGGGGATAATAAAATCTTAATAAACAGAACTTGCAATAAAGAAAGCCTAAATAGGGCTCTCTTTACAGGAAGTGTTTATGGAAGGCTGTGCAAGTCACATGCAGGGAGGTGTGACTAGGGTTCATAAACAAAGGGATTTAACTCCTAAATGGCAGAGGATTGAGCAGTGAGGCTGCAAGGGGCATGTTCTATACAACAAAACTGCTTCATTAAGCTAAAGTTGTTCAGGTGACTATAGTGTCCCTTTAATAACTTCAATACCCTCATAACCACACTCTCCCGCGAACCCAAATGACTAGTTCACACATTTAACTCTCTTCTTCGCCCTGCTGTTCCTCCTCCACCTACTAACTTGACCGCCTCAGACTTTGCAACTCACTTCACTGACAAGATCTCTACAATCAGAGTAGAGATCTCTCATCTTTCTTCTTCCCCTTACAATACTTCCCCTAACTTCACTCCCTCTGCTGTTCTATGTTCATTCGCACCCGCTACATTGGAAGAGGTTTCTGCTCTGCTCCAGTCCTCCTGCCCCACCACCTGCTCCCTAGATCCAATTCCCTCGCATCTCATCCGTACTCTGTCTTCTTCTCTTTCTCTCTCTAAAATTCTCAATCTCTCTCCTCTGGTATATTTCCATCACCCGTCAAACATGCAACTGTAACCCCAATTCTAAAGAAGCCCAATCTTGACCCTAACTCCCCATGCAACTTTCGTCCTATCTCACTACTGCCTTTTGCATCCAAGATCCTTGAAAGAATTGTGTATGCGAGATTGACAGACTCCCTCGAGTCCAACTCTCTTCTAGACCTGCTTCAGTCTGGTTTCCGCGCTAAGCACTCTGTGGAAACGGCACTGACCAAAGTATCCAATGATCTACTTGCTTCAAAATCTAGTGGTCACTACTATATCCTAATTCTCCTTGACCTGTCTGCGGCTTTTGACACTGTTGATCATCAACAGCTTCTTCTCATCCTCCACAATATCGGTCTACAAAATAATGCTCTCTTCTGGTGCTCCTCCTACCTCTCCCAGCGCTCTTTCAGTGTTTCTTTCGCTGACTCTGCTTCTTCTCCCCAACTCCTCTCTGTTGGTGTCCCTCAAGGTTCAGTCCTTGGTCCCCTACTGTTCTCCATCTATACTGCCTCCTTTGGTAAACTCATTAGCTCCTTTGGCTTCCAATATCATTTCTATGCAGATGACACGCAAATCTACCTGTCCTCTCCTGATCTCTCCGCGTCCCTCTTGACTAGTGTCTCTGACTGCCTCTCTGCTATTTCTAACTGGATGGCTGCCCACTTCCTTAAACTAAACTAGACCAAAACCGAAATTCTGGTCTTTCCTCCCTCGAGTGTTTTTACTCCTGTGTCTGTCTCCCTCCAGGTCAATGGTGCTACCATCAGCTCCACCACGCAGGCTTGCTACCTAGGTGTTCTTTTTGACTCTGACCTCTCCTTCAAGCCACATGTTCAATCAATCGCCAAATCCTGTCATTTCCATCTCAAAAACATTGCGCGCATCCGCCCCTACTTAACCCCAGATGAGACTAAGGTGTTGGTCCATTCCACTGTCCTTTCTCGCCTTGACTACTGTAATCCACTTCTCAGTGGTCTTACGTGCTCCCAACTTGCGCCGTTACAGTCTATAATGAATGCGAGGCTCATCTTCCTGTCCGCCCGCACCTCCCATGTCTCACCCTTCTGTCAGTCCCTACCTTGGCTTCCTATAAAATATAGAGCTCAATTTAAAATTCTGGTTCTTGCTTTCAAATCTCTACATAATGCTGCTCCCACTAACTATCCTCCCTTATGCACAAGTATTTCCCACCTAGGCCCGTACGATCTGCTGAAGACTTACGTCTATCTTCTGTCCGTACTCTCACCTCAGATGCTCGCCTTCAAGATTTCTCGAGGGCTGCACCGTTTCTGTGGAACTCTCTTCCCTCCTCCATTAGATGCTCACCCAGTCTCCACTCCTTCAAAAAATCGTTAAAAACCAACTTCTTCATAAAAGCGTATCAATTAAACTGTTAATAGCTCCTGACTGATTCCTCTTCTGCAACTGTCACTAGTCTAATACTATCCTGACCTTTTTCTGTCATTTTACCCCACTCCCTCTAGCATGTAAGCTCATTGAGCAGGGCCCTCAACCCCTCTGTTCCTGTGTGTGTCCAACTTGTCTGCTTACAACTACATGTCTGTTCGTCCACCCACTGTAAAGCGCTGTGGAATCTGATGGCGCTATATAAATATCATAATAATAATAATTGTTACGATAGTGAATGTGCAAAGTCTAGTACAGACAAAGGCAACCTTTGGCACTCCAGATGTTTTGGATTACACCTTTCATGATGCTTTGCCAGCATTACGGGTGTAAGAACATTATGGGGGATATAGTCCAAAACATCTGGAGTGCCGGAGGTTGCCTATCCCTGGTCTAGTACACCCTTGTCTACGGGGTAGATCAACTAGACAGGTTCGTGACAGCACAGAAAAAAGTATTTATTAGTAGATGGAATCAGGGAAAGGGCATAGTCAGTATTCCAGGAAAAATGGTTCCTAGTAGGGGGTCACAAAACAGGTTCGGTACACTGGATATCCAATAAATTCTCTGATTTACCGTATTTTTCGCTCCATAAGACGCACTTTTTTTCCCCTCAAAAGTGAGGGGAAATGTCTGTGCGTCTTATGGAGTGAATGTGAAGAATTACTTACCTGTCTTGGAGCGTGGGCCGGCTTCACAGCGCGCTCCGCGGTCCAGGAACTTCTATTTCAGGTTCCGGTTTCCGGCGGGACTGAAAGGAAGTGTGCACACTGAGTCCTTTCAGTCCCGCCGGAAACCGGAACCTGAAATATTAGTTCCTGGACCGCGGAGCGCGCTGTGAAGCCGGCCCACGCTCCAAGACAGGTAAGTAATTATGGGACAAGGGGAGGGGGAGACACTATGGGACAAGGGGAGGGGAGGAGACACTATGGGACAAGGGGAGGGGGACACTATGGGAGAAAGGGAGGGGAGACACTATGGGAGAAGGGAGGGGAGGAGACACTATGGGACAAGGGGAGGGAGACACTATGGGACAAGGGGAGGGACACTATGGGAGAAAGGAGGGGAGACACTATGGGACAAGGGGGCACTATGGGACAAGGGGAGGGGGAGACACTATGGGACAGGGGAGGGACACTATGGGACAAGGGGAGGGACACTATGGGACAAGGGGAGGACACTATGGGACAAGGGAGGGGACACTATGGGACAAGGGGAGGGGAGACACTATGGGAGAAAGGGAGGGAGACACTATGGGACAAGGGGAGGGAGGAGACACTATGGGACAAGGGGAGACACTATGGGACAGGGGAGGGACACTATGGGAGAAAGGGAGGAGACACTATGGGACAAGGGGAGGGAGGGAGACACTATGGGACAAGGGGAGGAGACACTATGGGACAAGGGCAGGGGACACTATGGGAGGGAAAGTGCACTATGGGACAATGGGAGGGGGGGACACTATGGGATCAGAACACTAATGGACAAGGGGAGGAGGGGTTAAAGAACACTATGGGACAGGGTAGGAGGGGTTAACAATCACTATGGGACAGGGTAGGAGGGGTTAACAATCACTATGGGACAGAGGAAAGGGGGGTTAAAGATCATTATGGGACAGGGGAGAAAAAAAAATATTCTGAACAAACTGTCCCATGGTAAGAAACACTATGGAACAGTTTGTTCAGAATATTTTTTTTTCTGGGTTTCCTCCTCTAAAAACTAGGTGCGTCTTATGGTGAGGTGCGTCTTATGGAGCGAAAAATACGGTAACTACTAGCACAGAATAAGCACATGAACACCTGTGTTGTGATTCTGTGATCAATGGGGATTTAAATAGGGAGGAGAAGTCAGGACCACTGCCTTGGTCACATTGCCATCTCTCCGACATCATTTGGATCTGTCTCCCCCATCACTGAGCCAAGATGGAACAAATTAATTCCAATCCCAGGAACACATTCATTCCACTCCCAGAAATGTAGATACATCTTCCTCTACATTTTGAATGGATTTATCATTAGAACACTTCTAAAAGTTAATAACAGGAAGTCATTTTTCATATGTTTCCTTTTTCTGTGTTGTGATTTATTTTATATTTGGCACTTTGTGCACCTCGCTAGTTATAAATATGTCTAGAATTATTTTAATACTGGCCTATTCAGTAACTTCATTGTATGCTAATTAACTATGCTATTGGTAAGATAGTGAATTTGCTACTACATATTGAGGTAGGTATACCAACAATATAATTTCACAATGGACTAACATTGGGGGGTGAACATGGAGAGCAAGGCAGAGTACATGGGTGCCTTACCTCCCAACCCCACCATAGCTGTATCGCTGCTTTCAGTTCCTACACACGTTACTTCTAACATTTCCTATCCTATATGTTCTGAGTCCCCTTTTGCTTTCACTTCACAATGCCTTACTTAGTGATGTTATAAATTCCTTTATACCTTATCCATGGTCAATTAAACTGTTAATAGCTTCCCATGCCCACACCTTGCTTCCTTTCCTGCAACTGTCATCCAAAAACAAAACACTAAGTCCTCAGTGAAAACTATTCTAGCAACTTACTTTTCTAACCTACCTTTACCTTTTGTGTCACTATAGTTCACTCCCTCTAGCATGTAAGTTCATTTGAGCAGGGCCATCAAACCCCTCTGTCCCTTTGTGTCTAACTCTTCTAGTTACAAATACTTGTCTGCTAGCCCACCAATTGTACAGTGCTGCGGGATTTGTTGATGCTTTACAAATAATGATAATAATTTATATAGTGATTATATGCAGATCACCTCTCTTCCCTTGATCTCCCTCAATCCCACATCGATCAGTCACCAGTTTATTTTTCTCCACCTTTAAATAAAGTGCTACACAATTATTCAAACTCAGCCTTCCCAAAATGGAAAACAACTCTGGTTATTCTCCCTTATTATACTTTTTTTTTTAATCGTCATCACTTTTGACTATACATTTTTCTGCTGCCTAAACCGTCTCTTCCTTCATTTATTTAAAACACACTTGTCTCTTCTTTTTTTGGAACTTTTTCTGTAGCAATATCCTTCTTCACCATTAGAATTCCACCTTGATGCCAATGCTTTCATAAATTCTTAAAAAGTAATTGTTTTGGGAAGCATCATATAACCAGTTATTGTCTCTCCTTAGAACATTTGTCCCAGTTCCTTATTGTCTTTGCCAGCCCAGTTTAGTAATATAGATTCTCATCAAAATATGTACTGAAATACTTTTTCTTGTACGGAATCATGTCATGCTGGTCTTTGAGTGACAATTTCCAGGGGCTGTAAGTTTAGGATCACTAAATGTCCAAAATAATACTGTAAATAAAATGTCCAACAATCATAGAGGAACAACGCTTGACTCATGCTTTCAAAACCCATTATTTACTTACCTGATCCCAAGGCCAATGACCCTCGGCGCTTCGGTGCTGAGTTGTGGCTCCTCCGACGTCCCTCGACGAGCAGGCACTAATGTTCATGCGTGACGAGCGCCATACATGCATTAATCAATGTTTTCCTATGGCTAAACAGCTTACGCTGGATATCCTCATGCAGAGCGTGAGGATGTCCAGCATCAGTTACTGGACCAAAAGTATGTTAGGATGCAGGAAGCACCTCCAGTGGCTGTCTAGTGCTGCAGACTTAGTGCTGCAATGTAAACATTCTTTGAAACTGCAATGTTTTACATGGCAGCACTAAGTACAATAAGGACACTACACCAATGAGCTGAAGTGTTCTGGGTGCCTGTAGTGTCCCTTTAAGTTCTGTACAGACTAGGACAGAGATGACACCTGGCAGCCAATCCCAGCCCTTCAATTTTTAATATACCAATAGTTCCTAATCATATTCTCAACAGCAAATACATTAATTAGACTTGGACTGATACTTGTTGAAGCCCTTGTTCTAAAGTTCTGAATTAGAAAAATACTTGAAATTGTTGGAAATAAATATATTCCCACAATATGTGGCGAAAGCCGCCTCGCCACTAGACATTGGAGAGGCCTGGCTGCCCGCCTCCTACCTGCTGACTATGGCCAGGGCCAGATTAAGAGCCCAGTGGGCCTGGTGCTGACAATTATGACGGGCCTAATTACAGAATCATATCGACCAAAAACAGTAAAACACTCCCAAGCATCATGTATCTGATGGAGATGGTGCTGGAGAGAAAGAAAACAGCAGCTATAAGAAAAGGCTAATCTCTCTCTAATTTATGTTCATCTTTCAAGTAAATCCATAACCCCTAACAGCAGTGTCCAGTCAGGCTGGAAGTCAATGGGCATGGTAAAAGGGTGTGCCACTGACACAAATCACGTAATCACGTAACCTGCCAAAAGGGGCGAACATGCCCAAAAAGAGGACATGTCTGCTCAAAGAATTAGAAGGCCAGCCTGGCATGAATGCATGTCAGGCTGCCTGCCAATCATGCAGCTGGCCAACTAAGGGCATACTATGCACACAGCACCCTGAGCTTGGCATAAATGCATTTAATGAGTCGCTCACTCAACGCTTTCTAAGGACTGTCCCCTAGCACTCGCTGGTCCACTTACCTTCTTACTAGCAGGCAGAAGCTCCTGGTATATGGTCTGGGACAGAGAAAAGCTGTATGTAGTGAGTGTAGAAGAAAGGGAAAATGTCACAGTGTTAGAGAGACCAAAGTCAGCATTACCTTAAAGGATCACTATAGGGCCAGGAACACAAACATGAATTCATGACCCTTTAGTGTTAACACCACCATCTAGCCCCCTGGGCCCCTCATGCCTCCATAAATATAGCAAAATCTTACTATATTCAAGCCCAAAGCTGTAACTCTGCATGCTGTTAGACTCATAAAAACAAGCAGTCCCTTAGTGTCTCATTCTCTGCCATAATGTTTCCCAGTGTCCCTTAGTGTCTCAGTGTCTGCCATAATGTCTCCCAATGTCCCTTAGTGTCTCAGTATATGTCTCATTGCAGCCTTTCCCCCCATCCCTTATTTCCCTGAGCTGTAGGCTGTCTCTGCAGGGTGGGAGTTGCTGTCTGGACTCTCTGTAGTTGCACCCCTGCAGATCAGTGATTATAGATAGGCAGGGAGGGATATGTTGGAACTTCCTATCCCTGCCTGTCTCCACACACAGCGACCCCTACTGGCCAGTGCTGGTATTGCATAGTAATCTCTTGTTTATACTGATAAAAATACCAGCATTTGTATTGCCAGTATCACTGCAATATTGGCACCAGCCAGGCAGCCTCAAATACTGGCTGTGCCAATAAAATAAAAGCCAGGTGGAATACCTAAGAGTAGTGTGTGGAAAAAAAAAAATGTAAAAAAAAAAAAAGATTTTTTTTTTTTTTTTTTAAATCAATGGGCCTATTCCATGGGCCTGGGCCTGGAGCTGCAGCTCCATCAGCCCCTATGTTAATCCGGCCCTGACTATGGCCCCTGGTAAATTTGTACTTTTGAAAGCAATATTTGGACATGAGGTATTTTATATTGCTGCTACTGGCCCTTTAAGGGCCATCCGTGGACATATTATGACTTTTAGGAACAATGCCCTTTAAGACTGTGTAGCAGATTGCATTCAGGCTGTCTTTAATATTATGTGTTCGGTAAACGGTGTTATGTGTATGCAGCATTCGGCTGATTGTTCGGTAGAATCACTCCATTCATTATATTGAGTGAAACTACCGAACAACAAGACCACCCAGGAATAAGTGTGCCTCCAATTACCGTTTGCAACAATGTTGCAAACGGGTAATTGGTAATCTATGTAATGTGTTCTTTGTCCTCTGGGTGGCCGCCATCCGGGAAACGAACACGTTGCGGCAGCCATCTTAAACTCCCGAACAGCGGTGTTTTGCCGTTGAGTGTCTGGAACTAAAATCGGACACTCGACTAGGCAAACACAGCTGAGACCTCCAGACTTCCAGCAATTCGTGCAGAAGTGCGGGCCGTTTGGTAAAGAGGATCCCACGAACAAGGGGATTCATACGAATCCTCCCCAAGCTCCATAACCCAGTTAATTTGTGTATTTCATTCCCTTTTCTGTGACCGACTGCAGGGCCAAAATACATGGAACTATTTTTGGATACTTTTGCCATGCAGTCGGTCAAAACTTTAACCCTCCATAATTCCCGAACCCCTGGTCCGATCTGGGTGATTTTTGGATATGTGTCTCACCCAGATCAGGGCTACCAGGGGATGTAACAGTTAAAGGGGTAACCCTATGTTTAGGGGTACATCCAGTAACCCAGGGAATTTGTGTCTGGACTAATGGGATTATGTGTCACACTAAGGGGAGGAGATGTGTGGGAGGTAACTGGTACATTATTGGCTGGGGTACTAACTGTTGTGGATCCCTCCCTTGCATGGGAAAATGTCTTAAAAGGAGGTTGTGTGAATAAATCTGCAGATTCTGCTTGACCCTCAAAACGAAGTGTCGTCTCGTCTTTGGGGGGATTTACTGTATGCTGTTAGAGACTGATTGCCAGGAGTGTAAGCCGCTTGGGGGCTTTTCCTGTTCGTCTGCTAACAGATATTTGTGTGTCTCCAGTTCGGCTGTTTCCAGTGTTCGTGTGTTTGCAGTTCAGAGTTGGTGAATTTGTGGGTTTCCAGTTCGGGAGATTGGTGCTTGCAGTAGCTGTCTGTGCAGCTAAGAAAGGGGAATATCGCCTAAACGGTTTTTAACCTCTAGTGAGCAAAACGGTCCGTTATATACCTACTTACAGATTAGTGATAATTGAATAACCAAGAGACACATTGAGTACACCAAAGAGTTATAACCAAATAAAATACATGAATGAATGAATGAAAGAATATTTTATTGCACAATTGAATGTAAGGGCAGATAGATGTTTAATGTGAAATGGGTTGTTTATCCAGGTATTATCCTCTTGATGAAAGAAGAGGAGTTTTCCACCAGTTCAGTTTGTTATGTAGTTCTGGATGAAGAGTGGAAAGATTTTATATTTTGATTTGACACAATTTCAGCCCAACTAGATTTACTAGAATTGTATTGAGTGAGTTAAAAGATTTTTAATGTGTGATAATGTTAAGATTAATCTAAGAAGAAGTCTTACAAGTATTTGGGCGGTCCTTTCATTTTGACTCATCTCGTATTTCACAAACTTTTCCCATTCAGCTGTTTTGTTTAAATGTTGCTTATCAGTTGCCAAGGTGACATAAATCAGTGTTTAGTGAATAAACTGCCAACATCTTCCATATTGGCCAATATTATTATTATACTTTATTTATAAAGTGCCAACATGTTCCGCAGCACTCTACATGGGCAGGCATCCATAAAGTGTGTCCAGGGATCAGGCATCGGAAATTCAGTTACCCAGTTCATTTGTTTTTAAAGTAAGCATTCTGAAAATAAACGAAAAGTACTGTAATGTGAAACATTGTAAGGCAAAGAAAAATATATATTTATATCTAACCCTGAAGATTTTGAGCCAAATTATACTACACATTATACTGTGTACATCTTGTTACTAGTGCAAAATGTTCTTAATTTGTACCCCATTCAGTCTTTTTAAAGGGACACTATAGTCACCTGAACAACTTTAGCTTAATGAAGCAGTTTTGGTGTATAGAACATGCCCCTGCAGTCTCACTGCTCAATCTTCTGCCATTTAGGAGTTAAATCCCTTTGTTTATAAACCCCAGTCACACCTCCCTGCATGTGACTTGCACAACCTTCCATAAACACTTCCTGTAAAGAGAACCCTATTTAGGCTTTCTTTATTGCAAGTTCTGTTTAATTAAGATTTTCTTATCCCCTGCTATGTTAATAGCTTGCTAGACCCTGCAAGAGCCTCCTGTATGTGATTAAAGTTCAATTTAGAGATTGAAATACAATTATTTAAGGTAAATTACATCTGTTTGAAAGTGAAACCAGTTTTATTTTCAATGCAGGCTCTGTCAATCATAGCCAGGGGAGGTGTGGCTAGGGCTGCATAAACAGAAACAAAGTGATTTAACTCCTAAATGACAGAGAATTGAGCAGTGAAATTGCAGGGGAATGATCTATACACTAAAACTGCTTCATTTAGCTAAAGTAATTTAGGTGACTATAGTGTTCCTTTAAGTAAGGTTTTGGTTGTATTTTTCTCTGCGTGCACAGACTAATAGAATATGCTGTGCATAGCTATGATTTGGTGTCTACCAAGTATATGGCTCCAGAGATAGTTGGCCAACATGGACAGCATTGTCAGGGTCATTTTATCTCATGTATATATGCAGCATAGTCGCACTCTCAGTAATGCTGCCAGCATCTTTTTTCTACATGCCCCCCAACATCGGCCCAATAGGCGGCATAAAAGGGGGGTGACTATGAAGCTAATCACTGGTGCTGCCCAAAGGGTTAGTCCTGTCCAGAAAGATCAATTTGAAGTATAGACAGGTTAGCCTAGCATGAATGCCAATCACGCAGGCCATCCCGCCACCTGAAACAGCGCACTCTCTGAATATTTCTAGTGCCCTAAGAAGAGCATTAACTGAGATAAAAGCAGGACACCAGGGAACAAAGTAGGGACAGCAGAACACTCTAATAGAAACGGTCCTACCAAATTCAGGACTGCTTCTAGCACAAACCTTGTCAGTATAGGTCTGGCACAAGCACTCTGGGGGTGATGGAAGGAAAGGATGGGAACCTTTATAGTCTGGCTGTCTGTGCTACAAAAATAACCTCAATAATTAGGAAAGGGTAATCTTAAAATACTCTTAAAAATAAAATTCTAAAAATTATGTTCTTTCTACGGTATAGTACAAAAAAGATACGTGAAAAAGCCAGAAACGCTAGAAATGTGAACATGAATGTGATCTTCTTAATGTATCTGACAAATACATCGAAATAAACATAAAGTAAAAATGGTGGAAGAAAAATTAAAAGACCCCTCTGGGCTGCCTTGAAATTCCTCAAGTGATACAGTCTGTGCACAAACTGTATCACTTGAGGAATTTCAAGGCAATCTGTAAATATTGAAGTTCCAGAGAGGACCTCACTAAAGAATCCTAGGTGGGGATAATACCAGCTATGCCCTATACATTAAACAGTTTGTCCCGTTTAATTAAATAGAGCTACCATATAAGAAGATTTTCTTTTCGATATACTCCAGAAGGGTAATGAGTGCCCATATCTACATCTGTTTGTGAGTGTAACGTCAATAGTATACTGGGTGAGTATTCCACCGTTTGGTGGATTATGCTGGATTTCCATGTGATTTGTTTCCAGATTTATTTATTTTTCTGGATATTTTTTCCCCAGCGTTTGATTTCTCCGTTCATACAAGTTGTTTTCTAGATATATTTTTTTCTGCCTTAGACAAGTACAAAAAGATAGCCGGTAATATTCTCAGAGCTCTAAGAAGTGGACGAGAATTGGGCTATTACCTGGAATAATTTAAATAATCCTACATTTTTTCATAAAAATTATATGTCATTCTGTGCTAATTTTCTGAACCCGTCGGAATGATTGCAATGCTCAATTGAGCTAATACGACCAAAGATTTATAAAATGAACACAGAAACATAATAAACCCGTAAATGTCATTTTAAGTAAATGTTAAGCTCTAATGGAAATACATTTATAATAAAAGGGTTAGTCATGTTTGCTGATGCTGAAATCCGTGTATCTACATTCAAATTTAGAAAGTTACAAAAATGACATTACCATCTTTAGTCTGAGCGTGAAAGCACCATGGAGCACCTTGAATGGCAGAGTCAAAGCAGCACCCTTTATTTTCACATTCAGTTGCAGTGATTCCAGGAAACCCGCAGTTTACTCTCGCCGAAGCAGAAACTTCACACTGAGTGCCGGCTGTAAAATAGATACGCACACAGTTAGAGAGTTCGAATGTCTGTGCACAACTACAAAATCAGTACAGTAAATGCTGCAAATGAACTCCGTCATCACAGTGTATGCACACATTTTGAATTTGTTTTGCATTCTAATAAAATCCAAAACAAAATGTAACCTGTATCACATGATTAAATTCCCTATTCGGCAGTGCTGTTTTCACCTGCGGAGAATCAAACTCTCTGCAAAGGTCCTGCCTGCCCTCTGATTCTCTGCAGAGAGACTGTAAACAGCAGTCCCCTTTCTTTCCCCAATATCTTGCATCCAAAAAGGAGAAAGGAAAGATAACGCTTGGCACAATGAACACTTGGCAGCCTTCAACAGAACTTCATTTCAACATCAATTTATTAGATGAAATACTAGGGACACTGAAACATATCTTGTTTAGAATAGGCAAGCAATATTCAGTTCTCTTTCAAACATAGTGTTAGAATTATAGTATGTCAGAAGTCACATAGCAAAGATGTGGCCACTGCTGGGGGATTTTGAAAGAAGAATGAGTACTTCATGTTAAAGGGACAATCTATTGCCCAAATGAAAAATAAAATCATGTATGCATTTAATTATGCATTGTTTTCCATGGGTTATATCTAAAATCAGGTTTTCTTTTAAATAAGTTGCAGTTCTCTTGTCTCTAGCCTTTGCAATTCCTCCCCCCCCAATCCCCCCTCTTCTAACCCTGCCCAGACTTTCTGTGGCTTTTTAATCACAAACTTCCCAATGCAGCTCCATAAGAAGTTTTTGCAAGGCAGGTGCTCTGGGCAATTGCCTTTTTCTTGTGTTTATCTCTACTGAGCTAACCAAACCAGGAAGTAACAGGACTGGTTGTTTGATTGACAACCAGGAGGGTGTAACACTCTTCACACATAAATCACCCCAGCAGGCAGAAGTGCTTTAACCCCTTAACGACGAGGACGGTTCAGGACCGTCATCGGCATTTTTGCGTTGCCGACCGATGACGGTCCTGAACCGTCCTAACGGTCTGAGTTACTTACCTGATCGCCGTCATTCCCCCGGCGGCGATCAGCGTGGCTCCCGGTGTGGGGAGACTGCCTGCAGCCCAGACAGTCTCCCCACACTGAATTAGGACCCCTGTGGCCATGTGATCGCTTAACAGAGCGATCACATGGTCACAATAGGTGTCCATGTGTCTGCCTGCAGGGGAACTGTCTGTGCTGACAGGCAGTCTCCCTGCTAGTGTAAAATAAAAAAATAAAAATAAAGTTAGTGTTAATAAAAAATAAATTATATATGTGTATATATGATATATAGACATATATTATATATATATATAATATATGTCTATATATCATATATAATGCCATACTAAGTGTATTTTTATATTAATATGTACTTATATTAATATAAAAATACTTATAATTAAATTACACACATATATATAATATATATAATAACTATATATATATATTGTGTGTATATATATTATTATTATAAAATATAAATAATACGTAATTTAAATTAAATAAAAAAGTTTTTAAATAATAATAAAAATTTTAAAAAAATTATATATCTATATGAAATTTTATTCTAACTGTATTTTAAAATTAATATATATTTATATCAAAATACACTTAGAATGAATTTGTATATATATCTATGTATGTATAAATAAATAAAAATAATACAAAATATACATATGTCCATATACAAAATTACATAAATAATTATATAAATATACACATAGACTTCAAATATATAAATATGCATATATATTTAAATTCTACGTGCGTATTTATGTAATATTTTTACATAATTCAGTAATTTTATTGATTGCAATTTGAGGGACCTGCCTGCCATTTCCCAGGCATTTTTAATTTGACCTTCTTCTCTGTTAATATTTATTTTGGTATTTGTTTTCTAATGGTTATTCTTTAAAAATCCCACAAGGGGCGGTGCGAAGCCGACCCGGTTTTAAATGCTGCTTAGCCAATTGGAACTCACACAGGGACTAGGCCAATTTTCCCCTTCCTCAAATTCCCCGGCCACCCTCAGGTAATGCTAAAATCCAACTCATGCTTTGGCATTAGATCAAGAATCCAGCAATGATAGAGATCCACCCCTTCTCACTTTCTTATTTATTTGAAGGGTAATTTTCTAAAGCTATCTTAAGATCAAATGTTAGTGCTTATCCCTATGAAGCTAACATTGTCAACCCGCTTTTAGCCCGCAGCAGACTCCTTCCCGCCCATCTGATAGACTCAGGGCTTTACAGAGGCATTAGGGGGATCCTCCTGGTTGTTTATTATGGGGTATTAAAATTAAGTTGAGAGTCAGCAGTTACATATGTGTGTGAGTGTTAGAGTGTGTGAGTGTCTAGTGTGTGAGTGTTAGAGTGTGTTTATCCAGAGTGTGTGTTGGTGAGTGTTCTTTGCAGTTAGAGTTAGTGTGTCTGCTGCCAGAGTGTTGTGAGAGTGAGTGTGAGTGAGTGTGTGTGTCAGTGAGTGTCAGTTCAGTATTGTGTCTGTCTTTCTTGTCAACTGTTACCAAACTGTTTTTTACTGTAATGTGTGTTTGTAGTCTTTTGTCTTGTTTGTAAGTGTGTGTTCTGTATGTCTTTGTACCAGTTGTCTTGTGTTAACAAATGTCTGTCTCTTTCCCAGTTGTGTATGTCTATCAGTGACTATGCCTGTCCAGTCAGTCTTAGGTCCACAGCTAGGGTCTCAACCGGACTCCCATCCGCTGAGTCCCTTCTTCCCTCAGCTGCGCCCTTTCCGCCGCCCATTCTCTCATCCAAGGCCTTCAAATTCTCCTCTGTAACCCTTCCTCAAGCTGAATGAAGCGGCCACCAGAGACTTACCTCCCTCGTGAAACATGCTAGTTGTGCCTGTTCTTTAACAAAAGTTATTATTTTGTGCTCAGGGCAACGTTAGCTAGACCACTTTCCTTAGAGGGTGATTAGCACATCAATCACTTTATTTAGTGTGTAAAAATGACAATAACTGAACATTACTTTTGCGCAGGGAGTAACCTGTGACCCCGCGACCAGAACCCCGGCAGCCGTTGATCCCCAGCCATTCTGTTGCTGGATCAATTTCAGATACCGCGAAAGACTAGAAATAGAATGTAAGTCCTGTAGGTTTTCGACACCCTAAAACAGTTTATTTCAGAACTGTCCAAATGGTTTACTCGGGAAGGCCCAGATTAGTCTTCAAAACATATCCCAGATGATAAATGATAATTCACTTTAAATTTAGCAAGCACACAGTTAACAGCACTTCACTGATAATATGGCATAATGATGTGAGGTATAGTTGTTAAAAGTAAATTAAGTATAAGGTATGTGTGTCCAGAAAAGCACAGTTGGATTATCGCAGGTTTATGGATTTAAAAGTTGCAATGTCCTGTATATGGGTCAAATATTTTTACATTGAAAATGGCCAGGTTGGTTACGTTGCCTTTGAGAGCGTATGGTAGCCCAGGAATGAGAATTACCCCCATGATGGCATACCATTTGCAAAAGAAGACAACCCAAGGTATTGCAAATGGGGTATGTCCAGTCTTTTTTAGTAACCACTTGGTCACAAACACTGGCCAAAATTAGCGTTCAATTTAGTTTTTTTACTTTTTTCACACACATACAAATATGAATGCTTACTTTGGCCAGTGTTTTCAACTAAGTGGCTACTAAAAAAGACTGGACATACCCCATATTGAATACCCTGGGTTGTCTACTTTAAAAAAAATATGTACATGTTGGGTGTTATTCAGAGATTTATGACAGCTAATAGTGTTACAATGTCACTATTAATCAATTTTAAAAATGTATGTTTTGAAACCGCAATATCCTACTTGTACCTATAGCCCTATAACATGCAAAAAAGCACGTAAACACTGGGTATTTTTAAACTCAGGACAAAATTTTTAATCTATTTAGCAGTTTTTTTCATTCGCTTTTGTAAATGAGTAAAAGATTTTTCAAGTAGAAGCCAATTTTTTCAATTTTTCATCATATTTTTTTTATTTTTTTTAAATTAAAATACATGAGATTATATAAATAATGGTATGTAAAGAAAGCCCCTTTTGTCCTGAAAAAACAATATATAATTTGTATGGGAACAGTAAATGAGAGAGCGGAAAATTACAGCCAAACACAAACACCACAAAAGTGTAAAAATATGCCTGGTCGCAAATGTACAACATCGCAAAAACAGTCCAGTCCTTAAGGGGTTAAGGGTTTGGCGTGTCCCTTTACTTGTTTACCATTTTCAGCAGAGCTGTTTATATTAAAATGCTTTTGTATAATTCAAAATGGACGAATGTCTCCTACAGAAGATGGACAGAGTAGAAGCAGTTAACTGTCTAGTCCCCAGTCAAACTCCAACCACCCGCTCACTAACTAATCCCGAAGCGCGTTTTGCCTCTGTGGGATCAGTTAGTGAGCGGGTGGTTGGAGTTTGACCGGGGACTATGCTGCAGCTAGTTTAGATCATTTAGGATGCTCCGCGTATACCACCCTCTCTTCACTTTTATCTTTAGACTTTAACCTCTGTGTACCTTCCATCAAGGCTTTATTTTGTTACATGTAGGCAGGTGATTCTAGCCTATGAGTAATGGGAGTTAGGAGACAGTACTATTCATACTAGGGTTTCACAGTTAGACAGATTCAAGACCTTTCTTTCACTATAGACAATATTGGATGTCTTCAAGATACTTTAGGCAAACCCTTTTCTCTCTCTTTCTCTGTGAATAACCTAGTGACTCTGCAATTTCTATTCTCCTCTCTCTCCGTGTTTTATTTAATTATTTTTTGTGTGACACCTATTACTTATCATTTAAGCATTGATTTTTTTAGAAGGAATTTATTAAAAGTTAATTTTTAATTACTTTTCTTTGGGTTGCACTGCAATTACAGGGAACCTTTGGGACTGATTTATCTTAACCCTATGGTTTCTCTGTTTTTGTTTATTCTCTCTTTTTCTCTTTACAATAGTTACTAGGGGTTACCCCCCATTTCCCAAAAGCAACCCGACATTTTTTACTTTTGTTCCTACCTCTCTTCTCTGTTAAATATTTATTTTGGGGCATTGTTTTCTAGATGGGGTATTCTTTAAAAATCTTCACAATCTGTCAACTGCAGAAGCCGACATGACTTTTAAATGCTTGCTTATCACAATTGGAACTCACACAGGGAAATAGCAACAATTTTGTGGATTCCTCAAATTCTACCTTTTTGCATCTCATTGTAATCACTAAAATCCAAAATTATGTAATTGGCATTAGATCAAGAATCCTAGCATAGGGCAGAGATCTCACCATGTTCTCTACTTTCTTATTTATTTGAAGGGTAAATTTTCTAAAGCTATCTTAAATATCAAATGGTTAGTTCTTATACCCTATTTAAGCTATACATTGTCAATGTAACTTTTAGAAATGGAGGTAGATATCCTTCAAACCCATCTGATATGACTCAGGGCTTTACAGAACACATTAGGGGGATCCCAGCTGGTTGTTTATTAATATTGGTAACCTGAATAATGTTGGTTAGTCAGCATTTCACATATTTAAGTGAATAACCCTTGGCATGGCTGCTCTAAACGTGTCCAAAACAGTTTTCATTTATCCATCTCTCTGTTTGGGTCCCTCTTCTTTCTCATTTTGCATTTATTTGCAAACTGCCATTTTATTCTGAGACACCAATGAAAATAGTTTACTGCAGGCTTCTATTCCCCTTCAAATATTGCTGTCTTTCTTTCTTTTCTAACTTAGGACCAAACATTTTTTACAGTTTAATGCCATCTCCATATCAGTTCCTTCTCTTGTCCCATCATTTGTCCTTCTAGCTCACTTTCATACCAGTTGCTTGTTTAACAATCCTCTTCTCTCTTTCCCAGTTCCTGTGAGATCTATCAGGACTATGCACTCTCCACATCAGTCTTTAGGTCCCACAGCTAGGGTCTGCAACATTTTTTATCATCCATATGAGTCCCTTTCTTCCCTCCATGTAATTCCCTTTCTCTATTTCAATTCTCTCTGTCCAATCGCCTTCAAATTACTCCTCTGTAACCCCTTCCATCAAAACTGAATGAACTTTTCATGTCCTATGACTTACCTTCCCTCGTTTGGTTATGCTAACTTGTGCCTGTTCTTTAACAAAAGTTATTTCTTGATGTGTGTCCATAGCAACGTTAGCTACAAAAGGTTCTCTTAGAGGGTGCTGTAGCACATCAATCACTTTATCATAGAAAATAAAAATGACAAATAAATAAACACTTACTTAATGCCACAACAGAGTGGCCTGTTATTAGCACAACAGCCAACACGCAAAACAGCCGTGAATCCATTTGAATTCTGTTGCTCTTATAATGTTGCAGATACCTGGAAAGACTAGAAATAGAAGTGTAAGTCCTTCGAGGGGTTTCTTTTTATACGGTTCAGTTTATTTACAGAATACCTCCAAAAAGGTTTACTCAGGGAGAGGCCCAGAACAGTCTTCCATCACCCCACCCCAGAGCTCTAAATGATTAATTATACTTTAAATTTAGATAAGAGACTGTAGTTAATTTGTTTCCTGTGATAAATGTGGCATAATGAATGGCAGGTATATAATGTAAGAAGTATAAAGTAAGCTATAAGGTATGTGTGTCTCAGAAAAGCAGGATTGGATTATCGCAGAGGTTGATGGACTTGGCAGTTGCTTATGTCCTGTAATGAGCTAAATCCAATTCAGGCCGTGCTGAGTGACACCAGCTAATAGGAAGGTTAGGAGAACTAGAGATTTCAAAGGAGGATGAGATCCAGGAAAGAACTGTCAAAACCCTGCCATCTATAGAATGTTTAACATCAACATCTGAGGAAAGGGATTTAGGGGTGATTTCTGATGACGTAAAGGTAGGCAGACAATGTGATAGAGCAGCAGGAAATGCTAGCAGAATGCTTGGTTGTATAGGGAGAGGATATTGATACTTTAGAGAGGGTTCAGAGAAGGGCTACTAAACTGGTTCATGGACTGCGGGATAAAACTTACAAGGAAAAGGACCACTATAGGCACCCAGACCACTTCAGCTCAATTAAGTGGTCTGGGTGCCAGGTCCTCCTAGTTTTAACCATGCAGCTGTAAACATAGCAGTTTCAGAGAAACTGCTATATTTACATTGAGGGTTAATCCAGCCTCTAGTGACTGTCTCCCTGACAGCCACTGAAGGCCGCTTCCGCAATCCTCAATGCGAAAATCGCTGAGGACACGCTGGACGTCCATAGGAAATGCATATGCTCATTCAGAGCTGACGTGGGCAGGTGGAGGAGAGGTCACCAGCACAGAGGGAGGCCTGTACTGGATTAAAGTAAGTGGCTGAAGGGGTTTTAACACAGTAAATCAGGAGACTATATTTAAAAGAAGAAAACACACAACAAGAGGACATCGTCTTAAATTAGAGGGGCAAAGGTTTAAACATAATATCAGGAAGAGGGTAGTGGATGCATGGAATAGCCTTCCAGCGGAAGTGGTAGAGGTTAACACAGTAAAGGAGTTTAAGCATGCATGGTGTAGCAAATTGCATTGGGCTGTCCCGAGGTATTCTTGTTATAATGTTAATTTTGGCTTTATTTCCTTTGTATCTATGTATTGTATGCAGCTTTCATCTGGTTGTTTGGGACAAACACTCCGTTCGACATACGAACAAACTGCGAACAACCAGACCTCCCCAGAGTGAAGTGTGCCTCTCATTTACCTCCCGCATCTATGTTCCAACCACATAATTGGTAATTCAACGAAATGTACTATGTGTTCTCTGGGTGGCCGCCATTCGGCATACGAACACGTGGCGGCGGCCATCTTATCATACGAATGCGCAGCAGTGTTTGGTCGTCGAGTGTCTGGAGCCCAAATTGGACACTCGACTACGCCCGCCATTCGGTAGAAAGAATCCCACGATTCATACAAATCCAGGTATTTTCGTGTGTTTCATCCCTTAAACGGAGACCGACTGCAGGGCAAGAATGTATGGTGCTGATTTCGGCTACTACCTCCTATGCGGTCGGTCAAATGAATACATCCATGTAACTCCCGAACCCCTGGTCCGATCTGGGTGATTTTTGAGTATGTTGCTCACCGAGATCAGGGCTACCAGGGGATGTAAGATTTAGGGGTGTATCTCTGGTACAGGGAGTGCAGAATTATTAGGCAAATGAGTATTTTGACCACATCATCCTCTTTATGCATGTTGTCTTACTCCAAGCTGTATAGGCTCGAAAGCCTACTACCAATTAAGCATATTAGGTGATGTGCATCTCTGTAATGAGAAGGGGTGTGGTCTAATGACATCAACACCCTATATCAGGTGTGCATAATTATTAGGCAACTTCCTTTCCTTTGGCAAAATGGGTCAAAAGAAGGACTTGACAGGCTCAGAAAAGTCAAAAATAGTGAGATATCTTGCAGAGGGATGCAGCACTCTTAAAATTGCAAAGCTTCTGAAGCGTGATCATCGAACAATCAAGCGTTTCATTCAAAATAGTCAACAGGGTCGCAAGAAGCGTGTGGAAAAACCAAGGCGCAAAATAACTGCCCATGAACTGAGAAAAGTCAAGCGTGCAGCTGCCACGATGCCACTTGCCACCAGTTTGGCCATATTTCAGAGCTGCAACATCACTGGAGTGCCCAAAAGCACAAGGTGTGCAATACTCAGAGACATGGCCAAGGTAAGAAAGGCTGAAAGACGACCACCACTGAACAAGACACACAAGCTGAAACGTCAAGACTGGCCAAGAAATATCTCAAGACTGATTTTTCTAAGGTTTTATGGACTGATGAAATGAGAGTGAGTCTTGATGGGCCAGATGGATGGGCCCGTGGCTGGATTGGTAAAGGGCAGAGAGCTCCAGTCCGACTCAGACGCCAGCAAGGTGGAGGTGGAGTACTGGTTTGGGCTGGTATCATCAAAGATGAGCTTGTGGGGCCTTTTCGGGTTGAGGATGGAGTCAAGCTCAACTCCCAGTCCTACTGCCAGTTCCTGGAAGACACCTTCTTCAAGCAGTGGTACAGGAAGAAGTCTGCATCCTTCAAGAAAAACATGATTTTCATGCAGTACAATGCTCCATCACACGCGTCCAAGTACTCCACAGCGTGGCTGGCAAGAAAGGGTATAAAAGAAGAAAATCTAATGACATGGCCTCCTTGTTCACCTGATCTGAACCCGATTGAGAACCTGTGGTCCATCATCAAATGTGAGATTTACAAGGAGGGAAAACAGTACACCTCTCTGAACAGTGTCTGGGAGGCTGTGGTTGCTGCTGCACGCAATGTTGATGGTGAACAGATCAAAACACTGACAGAATCCATGGATGGCAGGCTTTTGAGTGTCCTTGCAAAGAAAGGTGGCTATATTGGTCACTGATTTGTTTTTGTTTTGTTTTTGAATGTCAGAAATGTATATTTGTGAATGTTGAGATGTTATATTGGTTTCACTGGTAATAATAAATAATTGAAATGGGTATATATTTGTTTTTTGTTAAGTTGCCTAATAATTATGCACAGTAATAGTCACCTGCACACACAGATATCCCCCTAACATAGCTAAAACTAAAAACAAACTAAAAACTACTTCCAAAAATATTCAGCTTTGATATTAATGAGTTTTTTGGGTTCATTGAGAACATGGTTGTTGTTCAATAATAAAATTAATCCTCAAAAATACAACTTGCCTAATAATTCTGCACTCCCTGTATTAGGGGTACATCCAGAAAATGGGGAGAAATGTATAATGGGATTATGTGTCATGCTGAGGGGAGGAGATGTGTGGGAGGTAACTTGTAAAGGATTGGTTACTGTACTAATTATTGTGGGTGTCTCCCTTGCATGGGAGAAATGCTTTTAAGCTGAGTGTGTGGAATCAATCTTCATTTTCTGCTCCTGATACTGTGTGTCGTCCAGTTATTGGGAATCGTGATGGGATATTACTGCATAATTTTATTGACTATTGCTGCTGTTAATCCTGGATTAACCTCTTGTTCCTGCATCCCTATTTAAATACCAGCGGAGAAGTCTATGGGATATTAGTGCTCCGCTACACATGGGATAGGCATAAGGCTATCCTAGATATAACATAAGGCCAGGGAATAATGAGAGTATTTAGAAAATTGTGCAGACTAGATGGGCCGAATGATTCTTATCTGCCGTCACATTCTGTGTTTCTATGTTTCTGCTCATTAAAGCTATATGGCAACAAATACAATAGGCAGAGTTAGAAGACTTTACTAGAATTGGAACTGCCGCATCTCTGTAAATTAAATAACTGAATGAAATACTAAAAACACACAATGTGTGTTAACCTTTCATCATGTGATGCTGTTTTATTTTAAATTTATTCTAAAGAAGTAACAAATTATATTACAATCCATTTATATTCCCCACTACAGCCACTATCTCCCCACTACAGCACCTACATTCTTTTTTCCCCATCCACAGCCGCTCCTCCCACTCAACACACAAGCAGCATCCCCTGTCTCTCCAACATACACACAACAGTTCCTGTCACCCCAAAATAGCACTACGGACCATATTTTCTGCACACATACACTACAGACCTGGCCCAATATACATTCTCTACAACCCCAATTTTCTGGCACACACAACAGTCTCAATCTCCCCACACACTCTGTAAAAAAAAGTTTTCATCCCAAAACACACACTATATCCCGTATACAGCTGCTATCTTCAACAACAAACATTCAAAAAGGCCATTTCCTCCCAAATACACACAGCAACTATACACTACAGCCCCTATCCACAAACAGCTCCTATTCACATACCCACACACATACGACAGTGAAAACAGCCCTATCCATACACAATCCACAACCACACAAGCAGCATCTCCCCCACACACAAACCCTAAAAACAGCTTTCCCAGAAACATGCAACACCGCAAGTAGCCTCCCATTACAAATGCAACACAATAAACAGCCACCCCACACACGCAACCCCACAAGCAGCATCTTGACAAATCTTGCATTAACGCATCCAATCGCATACCCAAACTTTTGCATATGATATAAATATATATATATATATATGTATATGGTGCATTGATGAAACTGGCCTTGGGGCAGCAAGGAGGGTAAATCGTGCTTGCTTATTAGCACGCTTGTAAGCAATTTTCCCATTGGAATACCCTTGTGGAATGCTGAAACCATTTGTTTTCGGGAATATATTATTGAGTCTTCTCTTATTTCTTGTGCTTCTGTATACTTATTTCAACCTCAGCGTCTGGTCCTGCTAAGCAACATTTTTGCTAAACT